GAAGAAACGTGTTCAATTAAACATGATATATCAGACCACACAATCCTACACAGGAGCTGGCAGCTGTGGACTATAGAGGAGCACAGGAGCCTGAAGCTGTGGACTATAGAGGAGCACAGGAGCCTGCAGCTGTGGACTATAGAGGAGCACAGGAGCCTGCAGCTGTGGACTATAGAGGAGCACAGGAGCCTGCAGCTGTGGACTATAGAGGAGCACAGGAGCCTGCAGCTGTGGACTATAGAGGAGCACAGGAGCCTGAAGCTGTGGACTATAGAGGAGCACAGGAGCCTGAAGCTGTGGACTATAGAGGAGCACAGGAGCCTGCAGCTGTGGACTATAGAGGAGCACAGGAGCCTGCAGCTGTGGACTATAGAGGGAGGAGCACAGGAGCCTGCAGCTGTGGACTATAGAGGGAGGAGCACAGGAGCCTGCAGCTGTGGACTATAGAGGGAGGAGCACAGGAGCCTGCAGCTGTAGTCCCCGCCCCCTGTTGCGTCTGCTTTCAATGCAAAGTCTGTGTTGCAGCGTCAAAACGCACCGACCGCTGAGTAGAGACGCACGGACTTGGCGGGAAAGTGAAAGGGGAGGAGCAGGAGTGGAAATGGACGCCCACAGGAAATAAACTTTGCTCAACTTTTCCTCGGGACGTTCGTGCAGCGACCAATCAGAGAGCAGCAAAGTGGTCACGGGGACATTGGTGTCTGAGCGAGCAGACTGAACATACTGTAAACCAGGACTAAACCAGGACTAAACCAGGACTAAACCAGGACTAAACCAGGACAAAACCAGGACTAAACCAGGACTAAACCAGGGTTGACAATGGGGGACTCTGTGCTTGTGAATAAATGCGTTGTCATGCTCCCGTGACTTTATGCAACTGCTTCGAGTGTGTTCACCGATGCGGAAATACCGTTTAATAATATGAAAACACGTATGGCGCACCTCCGTGAACACATACTGCTGTTATATAAAGTCACCTCCGTGAACACATACTGCTGTTATATAAAGTCACCTCCGTGAACACATACTTCTGTTATATAAAGTCACCTCCGTGAACACATACTTCTGTTATATAAAGTCACCTCCGTGAACACATACTGCTGTTATATAAAGTCACCTCCGTGAACACATACTGCTGTTATATAAAGTCACCTCCGTGAACACATACTGCTGTTATATAAAGTCACCGTGAACACATACTGCTGTTATATAAAGTCACCTCCGTGAACACATACTGCTGTTATATAAAGTCACCTCCGTGAACACATACTTCTGTTATATAAAGTCACCTCCGTGAACACATACTGCTGTTATATAAAGTCACCGTGAACACATACTGCTGTTATATAAAGTCACCTCCGTGAACACATACTGCTGTTATATAAAGTGACCATGAACACATACTGCTGTTATATAAAGTCACCTCCGTGAACACATACTGCTGTTATATAAAGTCACCTCCGTGAACACATACTGCTGTTATATAAAGTCACCGTGAACACATACTGCTGTTATATAAAGTCACCTCCGTGAACACATACTGCTGTTATATAAAGTCACCGTGAACACATACTGCTGTTATATAAAGTCACCTCCGTGAACACATACTGCTGTTATATAAAGTCACCTCCGTGAACACATACTGCTGTTATATAAAGTCACCTCCGTGAACACATACTGCTGTTATATAAAGTCACCTCCGTGAACACATTCTGCTGTTATATAAAGTCACCTCCGTGAACACATACTGCTGTTATATAAAGTCACCTCCGTGAACACATACTGCTGTTATATAAAGTCACCGTGAACACATACTGCTGTTATATAAAGTCACCGTGAACACATACTGCTGTTATATAAAGTCACCTCCGTGAACACATACTGCTGTTATATAAAGTCACCTCCGTGAACACATACTGCTGTTATATAAAGTCACCTCCGTGAACACATACTGCTGTTATATAAAGTCACCTCCGTGAACACATACTGCTGTTATATAAAGTCACCTCCTGAACACATACTGCTGTTATATAAAGTCACCTCCGTGAACACATACTGCTGTTATATAAAGTCACCTCCGTGAACACATACTGCTGTTATATAAAGTCACCTCTCGTGAACACATACTGCTGTTATATAAAGTCACCTCGTGAACACATACTGCTGTTATATAAAGTCACCGTGAACACATACTGCTGTTATATAAAGTCACCTCCGTGAACACATACTGCTGTTATATAAAGTCACCTCCGTGAACACATACTGCTGTTATATAAAGTCACCTCCGTGAACACATACTGCTGTTATATAAAGTCACCTCGTGAACACATACTGCTGTTATATAAAGTCACCTCCGTGAACACATACTGCTGTTATATAAAGTCACCTCCGTGAACACATACTGCTGTTATATAAAGTCACCTCCGTGAACACATACTGCTGTTATATATAAAGTCACCGTGAACACATACTGCTGTTATATAAAGTCACCGTGAACACATACTACTGTTATATAAAGTCACCTCCGTGAACACATACTGCTGTTATATAAAGTCACCGTGAACACATACTGCTGTTATATAAAGTCACCGTGAACACATACTGCTGTTATATAAAGTCACCGTGAACACATACTGCTGTTATATAAAGTCACCTCCGTGAACACATACTGCTGTTATATAAAGTCACCTCCGTGAACACATACTGCTGTTATATAAAGTCACCTCCGTGAACACATACTGCTATTATATAAAGTCACCTCCGTGAACACATACTGCTGTTATATAAAGTCACCTCCGTGAACACATACTGCTGTTATATAAAGTCACCTCCGTGAACACATACTGCTGTTATATAAAGTCACCTCCGTGAACACATACTGCTGTTATATAAAGTCACCGTGAACACATACTGCTGTTATATAAAGTCACCGTGAACACATACTGCTGTTATATAAAGTCACCGTGAACACATACTACTGTTATATAAAGTCACCTCCGTGAACACATACTGCTGTTATATAAAATAACCTCCGTGAACACATACTGCTGTTATATAAAGTCACCTCCGTGAACACATACTGCTGTTATATAAAGTCACCTCCGTGAACACATACTGCTGTTATATAAAGTCACCTCCGTGAACACATACTGCTGTTATATAAAGTCACCGTGAACACATACTGCTGTTATATAAAGTCACCTCCGTGAACACATACTGCTGTTATATAAAGTCACCTCCGTGAACACATACTGCTGTTATATAAAGTCACCTCCGTGAACACATACTGCTGTTATATAAAGTCACCTCCGTGAACACATACTGCTGTTATATAAAGTCACCTCCGTGAACACATACTGCTGTTATATAAAGTCACCTCCGTGAACACATACTGCTGTTATATAAAGTCACCTCCGTGAACACATACTGCTGTTATATAAAGTCACCTCCGTGAACACATACTGCTGTTATATAAAGTCACCGTGAACACATACTGCTGTTATATAAAGTCACCTCCGTGAACACATACTTCTGTTATATAAAGTCACCTCCGTGAACACATACTGCTGTTATATAAAGTCACCTCCGTGAACACATACTGCTGTTATATAAAGTCACCGTGAACACATACTGCTGTTATATAAAGTCACCTCCGTGAACACATACTTCTGTTATATAAAGTCACCTCCGTGAACACATACTGCTGTTATATAAAGTCACAGTGAACACATACTGCTGTTATATAAAGTCACCTCCGTGAACACATACTGCTGTTATATAAAGTCACCATGAACACATACTGCTGTTATATAAAGTCACCTCCGTGAACACATACTGCTGTTATATAAAGTCACCTCCGTGAACACATACTGCTGTTATATAAAGTCACCGTGAACACATACTGCTGTTATATAAAGTCACCTCCGTGAACACATACTGCTGTTATATAAAGTCACCTCCGTGAACACATACTGCTGTTATATAAAGTCACCTCCGTGAACACATACTGCTGTTATATAAAGTCACCTCCGTGAACACATACTGCTGTTATATAAAGTCACCGTGAACACATACTGCTGTTATATAAAGTCCGTGGAAAGTCTCTGTTCAAAGACACGCTGCAAAGCTGAATATTGGAGAAGATCTGTGCACAAGAAGCCGCTAGCATAGCTCTGTTAGCATCAGAGCCGGCTACTTCCGGTACTTCCGGCTCGCGTCAGGACGTTCTGGTGTGAAGACCTCTGCGTCTGGTGAGCGGGGCTTCAGCGTTTGAGAGTTTGCGTCTGAATGCACCATAAAAAGATGTCAAGTTTATCTGCTTTGTCCTTGTATATATTGTACATTTACAGATGTGTACTATCCTATTATCTGTGTATTTTATATTGTAAATGTACATATTCACGGATGTGTATATCACTGAGCACCTATATCCAGATTATTCTATTCTCACATTATCATATTATTATTATTATTTTTAGATTATTACTTTAAAGTTCTTTTAAAAAAAGAAATTGGTGAAATACTATGCAAGTTACTGTGACAACACAATTTCTTTTGTTGATCAATAAAGTCACATCCAAGTCACATCCAAATCAGATACCACTGCGCTGCCGAACAGAGATCCTTTGTTCCTTCGGCTGTCAGACTGTACAACAAACCTGGATGAGTCTTCTGCTGCAGGACACTTGAATCAATACGAGGGATCAATAAATTATCTATCTATCTAAATGCATGTCTATAGACTGTATAAAAATGGACAATGCTAACCCGCAAGATCAATGAAAATTCCCCTTGCTCTGTGACTTTGCGCAAAAATAAAAAAATGGTGATTTGCCGCCCTGTACGGTCCTATTTGTATTTGTACTTCAGATATGAGCCATAACAACTGACCAATCAGGTGCCTTCTGTCCCCCAATCCAGACTGGTGCCTATCCTGATTTTCCTTTTGGTCGTTAGCTTGTTGCTATCCACAAAGCTCCGGAATCAAGAGGCCGTCTTACCTGCAGCGGCCATGTGTTCGCTCGTCCTGATTGGCTGAAACCCGACGAATGGGACCTGCATCGACAACACCAGCCCCACGATGTAGAAAGTGCTGTAGGCTGCAAGAAGAGAACAACAAGAAATTAAGTTAGCCATAAAGAAAAATCAAAACCCCTTTCACCTTCAGCGCGCAGCACGGTGCCACTCTGAACTCCTCTCCGGGAACTGAAAGGTCTATTGATTTTTTATTTTATTTTATTTTTTTAAAGCTTGCACCTCAGAGGAAGTAAACACAAACGTCATTACGGAGTTGGCGGAGCGACTCTATACACATTTGTCAGTCTAGAAGAAGAGGAACTGATCGGTAAACGCAGCAGCTTAATTAAGATTACATACTTTCTCACCTAAAAACGATATTGCTCAGTTCTGACAGAGCGGCGCCTGCCCAAAGCCATCTCGGCCTCATTCTCTCTCTCTGATATCGACTCAAGAATGGGAGAGATGAATTGCGAGGGAAGACACACACCGAGGCTGCGAGGTATTTTATGAAAGCATTTTCTTTGACTGTGACAGAAAGTCTTGGCACGAGGATGAAACGCTGCAGGAGACATGGATCTATGGACCTGAGAATGTCCCCTCCGTCTGAATGTACATGATGTTTATGCCCAGACCTAAATGTTCTTTAGTCTGTGGTGACAGTTTTTGGAGTAATTACATAAAACCAGCCGCAGCAAATACACGGACGTCAAAGGCCTTTTATCAATGCAGAGACGCCCTTCTGACGCCATGCTGAGCTTTGTGAGGGCCCCCTGCTGTCTGTCACACCCTTGTGTCTTTCGTATCTTGAATCTGTATGCCTGCTTCTATCCATATGTCCCTGCTGCCAGGAAGGAGCCGGACCCCCCCGACACCTACAGACAATGGCTATCACTCTTGCCCCCTTTCACCTCTTGCATATGTATCGGTCTGTATGTGTGCACTCTCTACATCCTGCACCGGTGGCCCCCCTCCCATCTGTTGTGGGCGGGACTGGCTTTCGTGTGTGTCTTGGATACAGGAAGCTGGGGGCTCTGGCCCCCAGAGCTGAGCATGCTGCCTTTGTGTGCATATGCTGACTCTCCGCACTGTGCGTTAACAATAAACTTACGCTTTTGATCAGACAAAGGACCTTTGAGTTTCCTCCTTCATGGGGTATATATTTCTATAACAATTTGGCGTTGCTGACATGTCTTGGTATGGATACTTTCGGCGGGGACGAGCGGCCTTGTTTGGCCGACCTGGATCACCAGCCTCTGTTCCTTTTTGGAGACAAAGGAGGGCGCGCTCGTCCGCGCATGGAAGCAATCTTTTGCCACACAAGACCAAAAAGAACCTAATCTGGTGAGTCTTGTCTTTTCATCTGCGTAACGAGCCCAGGGCAGCACTTAAGTGTACACGGGGATTTGTTTATTTATGTATTTTTGGGGTATTTCATTCATTGCCACAGCATAGTCTGTGTGCGGGATTTTTTGGGGGGCTTTTTGTTCTAGATTGAAACTAGCGGCTGCGCGTTAGTATCGCCCTGTAGGCGACCCTGAAAATTTCTCCAAGTGTCTTCAGCCAGAACCGCTCCATTTCAAGAACGCGCGCTCGCTGGTTGAACCAGCGAGGGGGGAATGGAGCGCCCCAAAGTGGGTAGGAGCAGGGAGAGACTAAGCGGGTTAGGCCCATTGTTCGTACGAGAAAATGGGTAAAAAACAATCTAGAAGACGCAAGCTATGGAGTGCTTGCCTATGGTGCAGGCCATTACGCATCTTGCGTGATAATTTAGAAGAAGAAGGGAAGAAAAAAAATATACTTGGTTTTAAGAATATCACGGCAAAAGAGGTTAGAGAAAGAAATATGTAAAAACAATAGCTCCTCCGCCTTTCACCGAAGCGGAGAACACAGGCGGACACACACACACACATCCCCCACACCCCCACCCTACCCCTACTAACAATAAGTGTGCACCCAAACAAGGCGTTGGGTTTTTAAAAAATGAAGCAGACTACTGTTGTCTCTTTTCCCTCTCCCTTATCCAGGTCTGTCGGCGCCTTTCCTCCGCGCACTGTCCTCTGCCTCAAAGCACCAGCCCCACGCCCCAACCACAGGCGGCGCTCGCACCAGCTGAGACCCCGCGAGAAGTGGGCCCAAACCGCAGAAGAAGAAGAGGCGGAAACAGACACACGCTCAGGAAACCACAGAAGAAGAAGCGGGGAAGCAAATATGTGAGACACCGAGAACTGCTTTGGAGCACAGAGAGAAACTGCTACAAATCCCGTGACTGTTCTCCACGGAGGGGGCAGCGTGATATACCAAACGCACCCGCGGAAACCCGCTTGAAAGTTGTTCCCGCACCGCAAACAGAAGAAGCCAAAAGTACCGGCACGTTTGGGTCATTCACCAACCCTCATGGACCACATGCTAACGCTTTGGGCTACCTGGGCCTCCTGCGGACTTTGAGAAACTTCCACAGCCCGGCGGAAAGACTGTGTGCTCGACATGGGTCGAAGGACTGTTACCGGAGGAGGCGTTAAAGGCAGAGGAACGCTCAAGCTAACACGGGGCCAGAGGACGGCAGAGGCGGGCGAGGAGGAAACACGAGCGACTGACCAAACCTGGGTTCACATTCGTCACCAAAGCGACCGCTCATGTAAGTTTGAACAACAACAAATTGCAATTGGCACTTTTTAGAGATAATTCATGCTGAATTCCCGTAATATACGCTAACAATCTGTGGTGTAAAAGTTAAAATTCTGGATGACTCCGGGGCAACAAATTCTGTGCTAAAAGTGACAGCCTTTCTGTCTCCCCTAAAATGAGCGGCCGCTTCATATTCTAATTAGCAGCGTCGGAGAGACGACTAAAGAGCAATTTACGTCACCGCTAACGTGTTTTGATTCTCAGGGCAACCAGCTTAAACATTCTTTTCTATATTCCCCATTGTGCCCGGTTAACCTACTAGGCCGAGACCTTATGTGCAGACTCAATTAAAAATAGATAAATAAAAGGAGGCACCGGTCCCAAAAGTTAACTACCACTGGAAATTGACACCAAACCCTGAGATTGCTAAGTTATTAGCCACAACAAGTGGATAGTGACGCCCGCACAAAATTTGGAGGTCAACCACGCGAACGACCTAAGCTGCTCTCTCCGGTCGTTCCCAGACAATAACTTAGAGTTTGAAAATTCATGCAGTGTAGTGAAGATAGGCTAACGGAGTATGTTTATTGGGATAGGCACCACGCTATGGTATTTGTGCTACTTAATGAGCAACAAAAACATTTTATCGTGAAACAAAGGTGAAGTATTAAAGTTTGAGACTAATTTACATTTTTAATGAATCCGACCTGGCTTTATTGAAAAAGAAGAAAAATAAGGAAAATAAACATTTTTTTTAGGTGACAAGAGCTCATTAGAGATATAGGGGACACAATCTGTGATAAGCCCGAAGTATAGACCACGTGGTAAACACTAAAGTTGGAAATGGATCCTTTTAGGAAAACTCTTTTAAAGCTCTGCAGGCTCTGAAAGTTGCAACAATAAGAAATAGCTCATGAGACAATTGGAATTGGACATGGAAAAATATAACAAAGTTAAAAGTACAGGCCTTCTGTGTTGTTATATGTTTGTGTGTGTTATATGTTTTGTGCATGTTATATGTTTGTGTGTCATGTCAAAGTACACTACGCTGACCTTAACAAACTGGACCAAAATACTAACGTGGGAAATCGGCCTGTGATGTGAGTGTGATGTGAGTGTGATGTGAGTGTGGTGTGAGTGTGGTGTGAAATGAGGAATGCTGAACGGAATCATGGAATAACAAATGTGTCTGTAATGTTTTAATGTGATCATGGAATAATTATTTTTTGTCAACAGCATACGGTGTAAGTACTAGAGATTCAAAGATAACAAGCTTTATTGAACAGGTGTAAAAGTGAGAGTACTCTGGGATGAGTACTCTGAGAAAAGTACTCTGCTGAAAGTACTCGGAGATGAAATACCTCGCTGAAGATATTGGGAGTTCCTGCCTCTGCTGTTTGTCCTGACAGCGACACAGTCCAACCGCAGTGAGCTGTCGTTGGTTGAAGGACAACTTGGTTTGTAAACTCACATTTAGGGGAGTATAAAATTAGAAACATACATTTTGTTGTTCTGTATTTGGCTACAGCCTCCGCCCTGATGCCACACACCACCTGTCAATGCAGTTATGTTTTGCCCAATTGGGAAAAAGATTGACAAGCGAAAGTGGGCATTTTTTGTGTTTTTTTTTTGTGTTCTGATATTTCTTTTTCAGATGAGAGATAAACTACCCCTGCTCCAGGGATGACAGTAGTATGGATCAGGAGGAAATGAGCCTCCACTTTGGCACAAAAGCCCACAATATGAATTGAGGACGATCCGGGAGAAAAGCAACTGGAGATGAACGGAACAGTCGGTACTTTTGCAGCCTCACTGAGGGCCACTGAGACCCACTGCTTACTTCTCAGCAAAACTCGATCCCGTGGCAGCAGGGTTGCCTCGCTGCCTGCGGGCTGTGGCTGCCGCTGAGAAAGCGGACCTAGCATCACGTGACCTTGTGGGATACACTGAACTAACTTTGCTTGTGCCCCATGCTGTTTCCCTGATCCTGTTAGAGCAGAGGGCCTCTCGCCTTTCTGCGGCTCGTTGGCTGAAATACAACACGGTGCTCTTTGAACTACGGTGAAGGAATGCACACAGCTGAACTCCTCCTCGCTGCTGCCCACGCCAGAGGAAGGGGAGGCACACTGCTGTATCGCCACAATAGAACAGATATGCACTCCCAGGCCAGACCTGAAAGAGGTGCCTCTGACTAATCCTGACTTGATTTTTTTTATATACAGACGGAGCCGCGTCACGTGACAACACTGGGAAGAACCGAGTCGGCTATGCTGTGTGTTCTGATTTTGATACTATAGACTCTGGTAGTTTGCCCCACTACCACTCAGCACAAACCGCTGAGCTGGTCGCGCCCACCGGGGCTTGTGAGCTGGCAGCGGGCAAAACTGTTAACATATTATGTGATACGCGCTATGGTTTCTCTGTGGTGCACGACTGGGAAGCACTGTGGAAACACCGCAATTTTATGAAATCTGATGGTAAACCAATTCTTAATTCCACACAGGTTGAACGTCTGCTGAAAGCTGTAATGTTGCCCTTAGAGATCGCTGTATGCAAATGCCAGGCCCACACTAATGCCACTGATCCCATCTCTGCAGGGAATCGGCGCGCGGACAAGGCAGCGGCATACGCACCTCTACACACACACACACACACTACCTCACTCAAGACGTTGATATTTTCTACTCCAGCAGAGACGCTGCTGTGAGAGGGGAATGGGGCTCAACGACGGCATGGTGTGTGTGTGGCTGGGACCAGACAGCAAACCGTGCCTACCACGGCATTTCTTCAGACAGTTTGCAATTTTAGCACATGGTCGAGACCATGCCTCAAAAGGAGGGATGATGTGTGATTTAATCACACAAAATTGGTATACAAAGGGGTTTACGGCATTTGCACAGAGATTCAGCCAAACATGCGCTATATGCCCCGCGCACAACCCAGGTAAGTCCCAAAAGTATCCAACAGGCTGCTCATCCTCCGCCCCTGCGCCCATTTCAACATGTCCAAAGGGACTTTGTTGAACTCACACCATACCAAGGTAAGTAATACTGTCTGGGTCTGGCGGATCTCTGGTCCAAATGGACTGAAGTATTTGCAGGCATACACGCCACAAGCAACGCGGTGGTGAGTCACTTTGTAGCAAAAGTCATTGAGGAAGTGGGTGAATTTCTGGGCATTGATATACGTAAACACTGCAGTTACGCCCCCTGGTCCGGAGGCACGTGCGAGCGAGAGAATGGCACTCAAAGCTCTGCCGCTAGCCCCACGTTGGGCGCGGGACCCCCGAACAGAGATCTGCCAAGCACCTCTTTGTGTGATGACGACATGCTGTCCTATTGTAAGGTAATTAATGCACTTTTGTCCTCTATTTCTGCCCAGGTCAGGAGCGCCCTGCCACAGGCTGCGCAGGCGGCTCTGCACAGGATCAAGCCAGGCGACTGAGTCCTGGTGAAGGAAACGAGACGACAACATTGGCGGTCCAAGCGCTGGCTCGGTCCATTCCTCGCCCTCCTGGTGACGGACACTGCCGTTAAGGTCGCGGAGAGGACAACTTGGATCCACGCCAACCACTGTCGTGCGGTGCTGCCACTGAGGGCCATAGACAAGGACACCGAGGGTGCGGACGGACCAGGCCCATCCGCGGCTCCCTACGCTGAATAGGTCTGCCGGCGTGCGACCACCATCGGTGAAGCAGGCCAACAACAACACCCAGAGATTCCCAGCGTTCCCGAGGCGACCCCCCTTTGCCCAACTCCCCAGCCCCCGGACCCCAAGGCCTGGGAGCCATGAAGGCCCTGAGCGCTCTGCTCAGCTGCAGCAAGTATGCAGAGCTGCTTCTTATTCCAAAGATTTCTCCAGAGCCTGCTCCCTCTGGCCATAATGCAGATTGGAGCTCTGCTGGAGTGCCCCCTGGTGTCTCGTCTCCCGTGTGTCCGGAGGAGGTGGAGATGAGGGCTGCTCTACAGTTCCTGATGAGGCACATGGTGAAGCGTGCTGTCATGAGGTCTCCCATCAAACGAGCTTTGGGCCTGGCCGATCTGGAGCGTGCTCAAGCCATGGTCGCCACACCCCAAACCCCGAGCACTCTGCCCAACCGAGTGCTGAGGCCAAGGCTTCAACGCAAATAGAGTCTTGCCGCTCCAAGACCAAACATCGCCATGACCACTAACGCTCCACACACGCTCATAGGGAGCGGTGCCACTGACTGCGAGACGGCACTGCTCGTGAGTATTCCCGCGGAAAAGACTACCGAACGTAGACCGGCATGGGCCCTTGGACTGTTATGCTGGCCACACTGACACTACTTTCCGTGCTGACCGTGTTTATTATGTTAATATTGCCTTCTCTTATCGCTGTCCGGATCCATTGTGTTATTATAATGTGCTCTTTCTTTTATTGACAAGCATGCTTCTTTTCTTGTCCACTTTGGACAGCAATAATTTAAGTGTTTCAAGCTTGAAGGTGGTGTGATTACGATGCCTCTGGTATTTAACTGATTAATGCAAAAATGGTTTTGAATTATCAAAAGAGGGGAGTGTGGTGACAGTTTTTGGAGTAATTACATAAAACCAGCCGCAGCAAATACACGGACGTCAAAGGCCTTTTATCAATGCAAAGACGCCCTTCTGACGCCATGCTGAGCTTTGTGAGGGCCCCCTGCTGTCTGTCACACCCTTGTGTCTTTCGTATCTTGAATCTGTATGCCTGCTTCTATCCATATGTCCCTGCTGCCAGGAAGGAGCCGGACCCCCCCGACACCTACAGACAATGGCTATCACTCTTGCCCCCTTTCACCTCTTGCATATGTATCGGTCTGTATGTGTGCACTCTCTACATCCTGCACCGGTGGCCCCCCTCCCATCTGTTGTGGGCGGGACTGGCTTTCGTGTGTGTCTTGGATACAGGAAGCTGGGGGCTCTGGCCCCCAGAGCTGAGCATGCTGCCTTTGTGTGCATATGCTGACTCTCCGCACTGTGCGTTAACAATAAACTTACGCTTTTGATCAGACAAAGGACCTTTGAGTTTCCTCCTTCATGGGGTATATATTTCTATAACAAGTCCACCCACCGGCACAAAGCCACCGGCACAAAGCCACCGGCACAAAGCCATCGGCACAGCGCTGCCAGATCAGCAGCTTTACAGACTGACCAGAAATGCTGCATGTTTATATCAGACATGTTTTTAGACACGTTTGTGCCTCTATCACAGCTGTATGAAGGCTCATGAATAGGGTCCTTGCTTCGGGACACCCTACCCCTGCGCACCCTACCCCTGCGCACCCTACCCCTGCGCACCCTACCCCTGCGCACCCTACCCCTGCGCACCCTACCCCTGCGCACCCTACCCCTGCGCACCCTGACCCTGCGCACCCTGACCCTGCGCACCCTGACCCTGCGCACGCTGACCCTGCGCACCCTGACCCTGCGCACTCTGACCCTGCGCACTCTGACCCTGCGCACTCTGACCCTGCGCACTCTGACCCTGCGCACTCTGACCCTGCGCACTCTGACCCTGCGCACTCTGACCCTGCGCACTCTGACCCTGCGCACTCTGACCCTGCGCACTCTGACCCTGCGCACTCTGACCCTGCGCACTCTGACCCTGCGCACTCTGACCCTGCGAACTCTACCCCTGCGAACTCTACCCCTGCGCACCCTGACCCTGCGCACTCTGACCCTGCGCACCCTACCCCTGCGCACTCTGACCCTGCGCACCCTGACCCTGCGCACTCTGACCCTGCGCACCCTACCCCTGCGCACCCTACCCCTGCGCACTCTGACCCTGCGCACCCTGACCCTGCGCACTCTGACCCTGCGCACTCTGACCCTGCGCACTCTGACCCTGCGCACTCTACCCCTGCGCACCCTACCCCTGCGCACTCTACCCCTGCGCACTCTACCCCTGCGCACTCTGACCCTGCGCACCCTGACCCTGCGCACTCTGACCCTGCACAGTCTGACCCTGCGCACCCTACCCCTGCGCACCCTACCCCTGCGCACTCTACCCCTGCGCACCCTACCCCTGCGCACTCTACCCCTGCGCACCCTACCCCTGCGCACCCTACCCCTGCACACTCTGACCCTGCGCACTCTACCCCTGCGCACCCTACCCCTGCGCACTCTACCCCTGCACACTCTGACCCTGCGCACTCTACCCCTGCGCACTCTGACCCTGCACACTCTGACCCTGCACACTCTACCCCTGCACACTCTACCCCTGCACACTCTACCCCTGCACACTCTACCCCTGCGCACTCTGACCCTGCGCACTCTGACCCTGCGCACTCTACCCCTGCGCACTCTACCCCTGCGCACTCTACCCCTGCACACTCTACCCCTGCGCACTCTGACCCTGCGCACTCTGACCCTGCGCACCCTACCCCTGCGCACTCTACCCCTGCACACTCTACCCCTGCACACTCTACCCCTGCACACTCTGACCCTGCGCACCCTGACCCTGCGCACTCTGACCCTGCGCACCCTACCCCTGCGCACCCTACCCCTGCACACTCTACCCCTGCACACTCTACCCCTGCACACTCTGACCCTGCGCACTCTGACCCTGCGCACTCTGACCCTGCACACTCTACCCCTGCGCACTCTACCCCTGCACACTCTGACCCTGCACACTCTGACCCTGCGCACCCTGACCCTGCGCACTCTGACCCTGCGCACCCTACCCCTGCGCACTCTACCCCTGCACACTCTACCCCTGCGCACTCTGACCCTGCGCACTCTGACCCTGCACACTCTACCCCTGCGCACTCTACCCCTGCGCACTCTGACCCTGCGCACTCTGACCCTGCGCACTCTGACCCTGCGCACTCTGACCCTGCGCACTCTGACCCTGCGCACTCTGACCCTGCGCACTCTGACCCTGCGCACTCTGACCCTGCACACTCTGACCCTGCACACTCTGACCCTGCACACTCTGACCCTGCGCACTCTGACCCTGCGCACTCTGACCCTGCACACTCTACCCCTGCGCACTCTACCCCTGCACACTCTACCCCTGCACACTCTACCCCTGCACACTCTACCCCTGCACACTCTACCCCTGCACACTCTACCCCTGCACACTCTACCCCTGCACACTCTACCCCTGCACACTCTACCCCTGCGCACTCTGACCCTGCGCACTCTGACCCTGCGCACTCTGACCCTGCGCACTCTGACCCTGCACACTCTGACCCTGCACACTCTACCCTGCACACTCTACCCCTGCACACTCTACCCTACCCTGCACACTCTACCCCTGCACACTCTACCCCTGCACACTCTGACCCTGCGCACTCTGACCCTGCACACTCTGACCCTGCGCACTCTACCCCTGCACACTCTGACCCTGCGCACTCTGACCCTGCACACTCTGACCCTGCACACTCTGACCCTGCACACTCTACCCCTGCACACTCTACCCCTGCACACTCTGACCCTGCGCACTCTACCCCTGCGCACTCTGACCCTGCACACTCTGACCCTGCACACTCTACCCCTGCGCACTCTACCCCTGCACACTCTACCCCTGCGCACTCTGACCCCTGCGCACTCTGACCCTGCGCACTCTGACCCTGCGCACTCTGACCCTGCGCACTCTGACCCTGCGCACTCTGACCCTGCGCACTCTACCCCTGCGCACTCTACCCCTGCGCACTCTACCCCTGCACACTCTGACCCTGCGCACTCTGACCCTGCACACTCTACCTCTGCATACTCTAGGAGACATTTAGATAATTACTTTGTTTTTAACCGTGTTTGAGCATTGTTTTCTGATGACACAAAAAAACGGACTCACATCTGTCTTACAAAATACAACACGTTCTCATATTTCCAATGAATCCACAACATATACAGGAATCTCACTCTTCAGTCAGATTGTAACAGAGGTTATAGAGCGCTTTGAGTCTCGACCTCAGCCCCTTTCGGTCAGACATGGTTTTGCATCAAGGTTCTCAATGGACACATGTTGGGTTTTTTGTGGTTGCTTGTTGTAACATGTATATCTCTGAAAACTGCTGCTACTGCTTCTGCTGCTGCTGCTACGACTACTGCTTCTGCTGCTGTTTCTATTGTTGCTGCTTCTACTCCTACTACTGCTTCTACTGCTACTAGCTGAGGTTAATATATTAGTTAATTGTGGTTAGAATACTTCAGTTGCCATGAGCTGAACGGAGCAGGTTTGATGTGCTTTGAAAGTGGTATGTTTCAGATGTAGACCGCCCTCGCCGCCTTCACTGACCCCCCCTCGAGCCCCCCTCCCCCGCTCCCCCCACATTGTTCAATTACCTTCATTTCAGATAAGAACAGTTCGTGGTTAAGGTTAACGGCTGCAGGGATGATGTACAGTAAAGGTGATGGAAAGATTATATGCAGGTGTTTAGTGAGTGATGATACTAATCGGACACGTTTAGAGCCAGTGATACACAACCTCTGCTCCACATGGATCACTGAAGAGCCAAAGGTGGAGGAGCGAAGGAGCAATAAAAGACAAGAGACGACCGCTCGACGCTTAAAGCTGAAAACATGTTTTTGTTACAGCCGCTGTGGGTGTAATTAGTCTGTTCTTTCAAAAGGACACAACGGACACAACCCTGAACAGTTTATAAAGGCTTGAAATGTAATGAGAGATCACATTCATTTGACACGCAAAGTATATTCTTAAGTATGTACGGATCTGTGTACCTGTGCTCCTGTCCGGTCCGGTCCGGTATGTAGATTATTTGAACTGAGACAGTGCACAATAACCATCAACACAAAGGAGAGATGTATTGTTCCAGGTTATAGCAAAGATGCTAGTTTCCCTGATGTTATAGATCAATTTAAACTGATTCTAATGTAGATCGATACATGACTGTCTTACACTTACATACATAAAATAATATTATCTACATAACATTTAATTCAATAATCAAAATACAGTTCCCTAATTTCCACTCGCTCTAGAGTAAAACGTGTTCAAACTTGACTAAACAAAAGGTCGACGAACACAGATGTCTTTGTGCAGATCCTGCAGAGATCACGCTCCTGTTGTTCTGAACCACATCTGTATGAGCCACACAAAATGGCCGCCAAACAAACAAACCTTAAAGATCCAGAGGAGCTAAAGAAACCTTCTCCCTCAGCGTCAGGTGGAACTGAGTTAGGAGCTGCAGACATCATGAAAGTCCGCTGTAGTAAGTGAAATATCCTGTGCTGGCAGAACACCTCCATCTAGTGGCACAAGTGGGAAATTACATCCGGTTGTTTATCATAAATATCTTACATTGAAGATATTTTTTTGTAAATAATGTTAAATCATTAAAGAAATTCTCAAACATACAAAAGACAGAACATAACTTAAGCTCCACTGAACTAAAAAAGTCTGGCACCTTTTCCCAAACTTTAGTTAAGAGTCATATTAGAGTTAATACTGATGCAGACTGTAGTTTCGGTTTTTCATTTGAAACATGAGACTTTTGTTTTATTTCTCTGGTTCTATAATTTCACACATTGCATTATGAAGAATAACAGTTAGAATTTCCCAAAGCAAAGCAGGAGGTGTGAGGTTATGGCTGTGAAGTGTTTGAACAACACTCCACACTCTCTGCTCTTACAGTGAACATATAATCATGAGCCAATGACACTTGACACGCCACCATTCAGGGCGACTGCGGCTGTGGCTGCGGCTGTGGCCCGGCCGCTCACACAGAAGCTTCAACAGTTTTTAGAGTGGACTTTTGTTGTGGTAGAAAGCAGCTGTGATGGAGGTCTCTAAAAGAACCTGTTAGAAGCTAAATATTAATACAAATGCATGAGCTTCCTGTTCTGGAGGTTCTTTATGAATCCAGACTCTTAAGATAATCACTGACTCTTCTGACCCTTGGAAAGAGCCATGTTCCAGCTTCTTCCCTCTGGCAGAAGATATCGTTTATTGAGGTGCAGGACATCTCATTTTGCTAACAGTAGATAATAACATTATTATATACAAACACCTCCAGTTTTCATACATATTTTCATTTGAAAACAATTACAACTGCATCAATAACAGATGAATTACTGCCTCAGAGGTTGGTGAAGGCGTCTGATTGGTCTAAATAACGTGAAAATAAACTAATGTTCTGTTTAATTCTTTTTACAACACTCTTTGATGACTGCAGAGTGTCAGCTGGTGATGTTTGTTGTCTGTGTGGAGTTTGCATGTTCTCCACGTGTCTGTGACGGTTTCCTCCAGGGGCTCCAGTTTCCCGTCCCGGTACCGTCCCATTATTTAGTAAAAGTCTGGGCTGCAGCGTTGTTCCGTTGCATTAGAGTCGTGTTGAGTCGTTGGAATCGCACGAACAGCGACTGCAGCTTCATAAATGATGAATGACGTGATGAATATTTTGGGCTCAGGGAGAGTGCCACATTTTTACTTATTCATAACAAAAAAACCTCTGATTTCAAACCTGCAAAGTACAAATAACCAGAGCGTTCCATCTGTTTTAAGTCCAGCTTTGGTCAAGCTAAGAACTTTTAGATGTTTTGATGTTTATGGAGAATGTGCAGTTTTGTGTTTATTTCCTTCATAAACTAATTAAAGAATAGATCATGTGATCATGAGCAGCTGCAGTAAACATGAGCTCGAGGCTCGTCCGGTTCATTCTCAATCCATGGGTTTTATCAAATTTCCAAAACGATTTCAAGGCCTCGAAAGTGGATTTTTGTTGTTCCACGACATTCTTGACACAATGCATCGATCTGAGTTTTCAAGTGACATTTTTCAAATCTCAAATGCCCTCGATAGAAAAATAAAGCTTTTAAAGGCTGCAAGGTCTTTGGGTTTGTAAACATTAACATTCTCTCCAAATATATCCATTTACCCAACGACTGTGTGTGTGTGTGTGTGTGTGAATGTGTATCTGCGTGCGTGCGTGCGTGCGTGCGTATGTGTGTGCGCGTGCGTGTGTATGTGTGTGCGTGTGTATGTGTGTGTGTGAATAAATGCTGTAAATTCCGTATCATTCCGTAAATGTCCATGACATAAAACATTCAGAAATTTGTGTTTTTCTTTAGCAAAATAAAACCCTCTTCAAAGATATTACAAGTTGTGGATTTGGCCCAAACACTGGTCATGTTTGTGATCCTCTCCTTCTTGGCTAAACAATGAGACCTTTTTAAAAAAGGAAAAAAATCTCCTGTTTGTCTGCCTCAAAATCTGCCTCAGTTCACTGAACGTTAGCGATAGCCTGTTATTATGTTAATGTGACCTAAGTCAGGTCTAAGTCAGGTCTAAGTCAGGTCTAAGTCAGGTCTAAGTCAGGTCTAAGTCAGGTCTAAGTCATGTCTAAGTCATGTCTAAGTCAGGTCTAAGTCAGGTCTAAGTCAGGTCTAAGTCAGGTCTAAGTCATGTCTAAGTCATGTCTAAGTCATGTCTAAGTCATGTCTAAGTCATGTCTAAGTCATGTCTAAGTCATGTCTAAGTCAGGTCTAAGTCAGGTCTAAGTCAGGTCTAAGTCAGGTCTAAGTCAGGTCTAAGTCATGTCTAAGTCAGGTCTAAGTCAGGTCTAAGTCAGGTCTGAGTCAGGTCTAAGTCAGGTCTAAGTCAGGTCTAAGTCAGGTCTAAGTCATGCCTAAGTCATGTCTAAGTCATGTCTAAGTCATGTCTAAGTCAGGTCTAAGTCAGGTCTAAGTCAGGTCTAAGTCAGGTCTAAGTCAGGTCTGAGTCAGGTCTGAGTCAGGTCTAAGTCAGGTCTGAGTCAGGTCTAAGTCAGGTCTGAGTCAAGTCTAAGTCAGGTCTAAGTCAGGTCTAAGTCAGGTCTGAGTCAGGTCTGAGTCAGGTCTAAGTCAGGTCTGAGTCAGGTCTAAGTCAGGTCTGAGTCAAGTCTAAGTCAGGTCTAAGTATATAGAGTGCTCTGTATAGTGTTCCATACACTGATATCTAAGATGGCGGCCTAGTAACTGTTGCTATACAATACAATACAATTTATTCTTGTATCGCCCTAAATCACAACATCTCAGAGACTGAACAGAACCATTGAAATCACCGACACAGGTCAGAGAATCAACAGTTAAACACATAAAGAATATAGAACACATGTTGATAATGTCATACATGTAGAATGTTAAAGTGTCCTGGATCATCACAGTCCTTCTAGTTGGACACTAACTGTCCAACAGACTCCTGCATCAGAGGAACAACTCATAAGAAAACCCAGTGGGAAAAAGTGAGAAACCTCGGGGAGACCCACAGGTTGAGAAAAGGATCCGCTCCCACGGACGGACGGGCTGTAGATCCAGGACCTAAGCTACAGCTGTGTAGGTCACATGGTGGAAAAGATAAATAAAAACAAACACAAAGAACAGAACTGACTGCACCTGTAACTCTCTGCACGGATCATTTATCACTATTCCACATAATAAGCTAAAATTATGTCGTTTTGTGCTAAAATGTTTATGATGAGGCTTAGAACATAACTGCTGTGAAACTGAGACAGCGACTGATTTGAAATGACTTTTAACCATCTGCAGTGGCTCTGACAGTTTGCGCCGCTGCGGGTGCATGGACTAATTAAATGATATGCCATTTTTGACATTGCCCTAAATTAAAAAAACAATTAATGTGATCTGGCTCCTGCTGCGGCGCAATCGACTCATCGACAAAGTGTAAGTGGAAAATGGTTCTGAAATACTAAGATGGTCTTCAAAGAGAAGAGTCAGATGTAACGGAGAGTTCTTTGATCAGCCATCAGCTGATCTCCTGAACACGCAACATTCCTGCTTCAGTGGGTTTATGTGAACAGCAGAAAGACACAAGGACGAGCAGTGTGTGTCTGCGTGTGTGTGTCTGCACGTCTGTGTGTGAGAGCATGTATCTGTGTGCGCATGAGTGCGAGCATGTCTGTGTGTGCATGTCGTCTTTGTGTGTGTGTGTCTGAAACCATGAAACCACACAACCCTCATTTAGAAAACATTATAAAATTCTTGATTTTCCTCCGTCTATAATTTGTGTAAAATTGAATGAGCGGCGACACTGGTCCTCCCTGGTCCACGTCCCGCTGGTGGAGCTCACCTGGTCTCGTGCATACCAATGACAGACACTGACATTTCTGCAGGCTTCAATTTGAATTCAGACGTGTAAAAGTGAAACAGTAGTGTGCAGTGTAGTGTGTGGTGTAGTGTGCAGTGTAGTGTGCAGTGTAGTGTGCAGTGTAGTGTGCGGTGTAGTGCGCGGTGTAGTGTGCAGTGTAGTTTGCAGTGTAGTGTGCGGTGTAGTGTGCAGTGTAGTGTGCGGTGTAGTGTGCGGTGTAGTGCGCGGTGTAGTGTGCAGTGTAGTTTGCAGTGTAGTGTGCGGTGTAGTGTGCAGTGTAGTGTGCGGTGTAGTTTGCGGTGTAGTGCGCGGTGTAGTGCACAGTGTAGTGTGCGGTGTAGTGTGCGGTGTAGTGCGCGGTGTAGTGTGCAGTGTAGTGTGCAGTGTAGTGTGCGGTGTAGTTTGCGGTGTAGGGCGGGGTGTAGTGTGCGGTGTAGTGTGCGGTGTAGGGCGCGGTGTAGTGTGCAGTGTAGTGTGCGGTGTAGTGCGCGGTGTAGTGTGTGGTGTAGTTTGCGGTGTAGTTTGCGGTGTAGTGCGCGGTGTAGTGCGCAGTGTAGTGTGCGGTGTAGTGTGCAGTGTAGTGTGCGGTGTAGTGCGCGGTGTAGTGTGCAGTGTAGTGTGCAGTGTAGTGTGCAGTGTAGTGTGCAGTGTAGTGTGCAGTGTAGTGTGCAGTGTAGTGTGCAGTGTAGTGTGCAGTGTAGTGTGCGGTGTAGTGCGCGGTGTAGTGTGCAGTGTAGTGTGCAGTGTAGTGTGCAGTGTAGTGTGCAGTGTAGTGTGCGGTGTAGTGTGCGGTGTAGTTTGCGGTGTAGTTTGCGGTGTAGTGTGCAGTGTAGTTTGCGGTGTAGTGTGTGGTGTAGTGTGCGGTGTAGTGCGCGGTGTAGTGTGCGGTGTAGTTTGCGGTGTAGGGCGGGGTGTAGCGTGCGGTGCAGTGTGCGGTGTAGTGTGCGGTGTAGTTTGCGGTGTAGGGCGCGGTGTAGTGTGCGGTGTAGGGCGCGGTGTAGTGTGCGGTGTAGTTTGCGGTGTAGGGCGGGGTGTAGGACTCACCGATGTAGACGCGGCGGCTGTAGCGTTGCATCAGCAGCAGCACAAACACGTGAAGAGGAATCAGGTTGATGATGAAGACGTAGCCGCCCCACGCAGACACCTGCAGCACACACTCAGTTACTCCAGGGTTTAGTATAATTTAGTAAGTTTATAGTTTACAAAAAGGTACATATGAAAACATTACAGAGACAAAGTCCCACCTGCCCCACCCTGGGACGGCTGTCCAACAGAAAAGACAGCATCACATCAATTAAACAACATGTGCAGTTATTCAAAGTTATTCCACTGTTACAGAAGCTTCCACACTTCAGAAAATATTCTTTCTCAAAACAAATCTAATTTTGTTGTTGTTATAATGTAGAAGATTATGACAGTTCAGTATCCAAATATTCAAATGTTTTATTTAAACTGTGAGCCTAAAATAAGAAATAAAATAAAGTGTGATATTGAACTGATCTCAGGTGTTATGTGTCATATAAATGCAGTATAAATCATTTCTGCTGCTGTGACCTGAGGAAGCTGTAGGAAAGAACATCCTTATGTGGCCAGCAGCTTCTAAAACGTGTCCTTCTTTAACATAAAGTCCAAACCAGTTTTGTTAACAACGAGAACTAAAGCGACAAAAACTTCAGATTAAAATGACCTTTTAATAAAAACCTAAAAGTTTAAACATTCAACAGAGAGCCTTAAATTAAGTCCAATTAGGTTAAACATGTGTAAAGCTGTGCCCGCGGTGTCTGATGTGATTTGGAACTCTGTGGGAGGCGTCTCATTTAGTCCAGACCCGTTTCAGCGATGGATATTTCCAGGTTAAAACATTTCACAGCGGTGTAAAAATGTTATTTACCTTTTTCAATTATATTTTCTGTGACAATCTGTTCCTGTCCTTTCACACGGCCAAAGAGGAGAGACAGATTATTATTACAGTATTAAGGCCCAAAGTCACTATAATACAGAAGTACAAGTCTCAAAACAGACCTGATCCGTTAAAGGGAAAACATTAGACTTGGGGAGGATGTAGCCCGGTCTGACCACACCACGGTACTCATTTCATTTGGTACTAACAGGTGGGAGGGGCTAACAGACGTACATGTAGGAAATGATCATGGACCAGAGTTTACACATGGTAAGACCAGACGTACATGTAGGAGATGATCATGGACCAGAGTTTACACATGGTAAGACCAGACGTACATGTAGGAGATGATCATGGACCAGAGTTTACACATGGTAAGACCAGACGTACATGTAGGAGATGATCATGGACCAGAGTTTACACATGGTAAGACCAGACGTACATGTAGGAGATGATCATGGACCAGAGTTTACACATGGTAAGACCAGACGTACATGTAGGAGATGATCATGGACCAGAGTTTACACATGGTAAGACCAGACGTACATGTAGGAGATGATCATGGACCAGAGTTTACACATGGTAAGACCAGACGTACATGTAGGAGATGATCATGGACCAGAGTTTACACATGGTAAGACCAGACGTACATGTAGGAGATGATCATGGACCAGAGTTTACACATGGTAAGACCAGGCGTACATGTAGGAGATGATCATGGACCAGAGTTTACACATGGTAAGACCAGACGTACATGTAGGAAATGATCATGGACCAGAGTTTACACATGGTAAGACCAGACGTACATGTAGGAAATGATCATGGACCAGAGTTTACACATGGTAAGACCAGACGTACATGTAGGAAATGATCATGGACCAGAGTTTACACATGGTAAGACCAGACGTACATGTAGGAGATGATCATGGACCAGAGTTTACACATGGTAAGACCAGACGTACATGTAGGAGATGATCATGGACCAGAGTCTATCATCAGATCTTGATCATATCATATTCAGACTCCTGGCAAATTAGTCAGTTCCAAATGTCCCGTGGCTAAGTTACAGGTCATGTCTGCGAATAGGAGAGTCTAACCCTAATCTAAGAAATCAGGTCTATTATCAACTAGAACGTGCACTCGGAGAGCACATACCCCCGCCAACACCCCGGATAGTCCCAGAACTTTGACAGGGTTTGACTTCAAATCTAGATTCCAGATTTCTCCTTAACCAGTGCAGTAGTTTTTGCACAATCCTGCCTACGCACTCACACACACACACACACACACACACACACACAGCTAAGTAAAATACCCCTTCCCCAGTCGTTGGGGTAATTAATCACATTTCATATTATACAGTTACAAGCAGAATAAATAAAATCGCCATGGCAACAGAGGTGCAGCAGACCCCAAGCCGAAAGACGCCCCGGTGCACCTTTAAACCTTTAATGTTAATGTTCCGGCTAAAGCAGCATCAGCTCAAAGAGAGTCCTCCTGAGGTGAAATACACACCTCTACACTTCACACGCTTTGTTCTTATTCGTTTAAAAGCAGCAATAGTTACGAGTCTTGGCAAAGCTTCTGCTCGTGTCACAATAAATTGCTTTGATTTGTCCAGTTTCTATCAATCTTTTTGCACACTTTTTGAAAGCTCACCAAGTAATAGCAGCGATAGCCACTATTTCAGTCTGTTTTTTATGGGCACTATTAATTCAAAGCCAACAAGACTCTATATCAGAGCCTAAAGCCACGTGCAGCGGGCCGTGACGGGCTAGAGCCTAAAGCCACGTGCAGCGGGCCGTGACGGGCTAGAGCCTAAAGCCACGTGCAGCGGGCCGTGACGGGCTAGAGCCTAAAGCCACGTGCAGCGGGCCGTGACGGGCTAGAGCCTAAAGCCACGTGCAGCGGGCCGTGACGGGCTAGAGCCTAAAGCCGCTAGAGCTTAAAGCCACGTGCAGCGGGCCGTGACGGGCTAGAGCTTAAAGCCACGTGCAGCGGGCCGTGACGGGCTAAAGTAACTCACCAATTCTTTTTTAAATGTACTGGTATTCATTATTTAAACTGAACTGAAAGTGCAGCCTTTTTCATGCCCTCTGAACAAAAGCTTATAGCACTCGTCCAAAAAGCATTGGAAGAAAAACCAGTCTAATGAATTAAAGATAAGCTCCTGTATGACTGTATGGATGCGGCTTCACATGACGGCTGTGGGCTGAAGAACCACAGATGGCTCAGAAACGCACACACGAAGCCAGGAACAAACACGGTGGATAATAATAAACATTCAGTCTGTTGTCCCACCGCTGGACCAATTATTTTAAGCCAATTTGCATAATTATGTGGCTTCCAAAAGGTAATTCTCACCATGGAATCACAAACCAGACACAGTGACAGAGCTGAGAATGAGGACCAAGGACTTTGTAAAAATCTGACCGTCAGCTTTAACCTTTCAGACTGATCCACAAACAACAAACATTTATCTGACGCTAGAACCACTCATAGCACTTTAAGTCGCAATATGTAAGATTTTCATCTCAAGTCGTCATTAAAGGGCCCTAATCTGTCGTCATTAAAGGGACCTAATCTGTCATCATTAAAGGGCCCTAATCTGTAGTCATTAAAGGGCCCTAATCTGTCATCATTAAAGGGCCCTAATCTGTCATCATTAAAGGGCCCTAATCTGTCATCATTAAAGGGCCCTAATCTGTCATCATTAAAGGGCCCTAATCTGTCATCATTAAAGGGCCCTAGTCTGTCGTCATTAAAGGAGAATCAAAATGTCAGAAAACATTACACACTCAGCTCAGACGTCCAAACTCTGATTTATTCATGATATTTCAGCTTCATGCCTTCATCACATTTTGCTTTTCTTTTCTTTTAACAAAATACCTGGATTTAAGCACATTCAGTCATTGTACTTCTGTCTAGATTAACTTTATGTTTAATGATATGCAGAAAAAGCTCAATATTCTAACAGACTTACTCTGAACAAACGTGAACACAGACGTCAGAGGAGGTCAGACTCAGACTCATTTATGTTTGTCTTTAGTCCGAGTCCGAGCGACGAAAGAGGCGGTTTGGATGTTTACAGATAAACTGTTCATAAACAGATTGTGCGTGGGCGGTGCTAATGTAACATCTCGCTCTAAACAAAACGTGGCGTTCCTTCGCAGCACGTGGCGTCCGGCGTCTACAGAAGTCACAGAGTCGTCCTTTAAAGAGTTTATTAAGGAGCAGTTCTTTACTAAGCTTCACTTTAACAATCGTTGAAATGAATTAATCAGTGGAAAGAGAGACAAAGGAAAAACACTCATTGGTTTCAGTTACAGTTCATTCGTTCATTTTCACCTCTTCATTAAGATCAGATAAACTTTAGTCCATTTCTGGGTCGGGGGTGACAATCTGAGCTCCTCTGATCCTTCTAAGTGGGTTCAGCGGGTCATGCACCATTAGGCTCTTCCAACTGAGCCACTGTCGCCCCATTATTAGTGTTTGCTTTTCAGTGTCTTCTTTAATATAATTCTTATGTTAAAGCCTTGTGTGTCTTCAGTTCAGGCCTTTGAGCTGCTGTGTATGAAATGTGCTCTACAAATAAACCTGCCTTTAATATCTGAGCTCCACACAGGAGTCCATCACACACTGGAGGGTGCTGCTTTCTCCAACATCCTTATCCAATCCGAGAGCGCAGGTTTTCACACCGACAGGACAGTTTGTAAAATCCTTCTGCTGCCTCCTGACCCTCGGCTCCAGCTCGGACCGAAGCCCAACGCTCAGACCGAAGTCTCTCCTCTCCGAGAGCTTCATGGGGTTCATCTGATGACCGCAGATACAGAGGAGGCTGTTTACGCTTTTCTCCACAGCCCAGAGTCGGAGCAAATGAAGCCAACTCGAGCAGCGAGGATTGTTGATTATGTTTGAGATGAGTAGAAAAGAGAATCAGGTTCCAATAAATAAAAGTATCAAAGACTGAAGTCGCTCTGGCTCCAGCTGAAGACAGAAGCATCACTCGATAATCCTACTCTGTTCAAGTTTGAGTAACCAGAGCCCACATGGTCTCTGCTCTCACCTGGTTTTTACAACATGCAGAATACTGTGGAAAGCCCGTCCGTCGCTAAATCACATTTTAAACAGTGGGATCAGAACTGAAAGGATTTCCTGAGTAACTTCAGTGATCTCCGCTCGAGGCTTCGTACAGTTTCAGATTCTTCGTGTGTCACAGATCGACTGCGTTTGTACGACTTTCAGAAACAGATCCATAGACTAAATAATGAGGCAAGTGTACAAAACTGGTATTTTCATTATTAAGTGTTTGAAGATCGAATAAAACATATTTTGCTCTATTATAAATATCAATCGGGATATTCGATAGAACTTGATAACTATAATATTCAATAAGATGATAATTAGATATAAAGTAATCCAAGACCAAGTTTAGTTCTCCCACAATAATTACTACTTTGTTTAACTATTGAGAGCCCAAAGATTCCAATAGTGAGAAAACATTTCCTGTTTTCTTTCAAACGGAGATTGTGCAGAATCACTTTCACACGACTCACTTGGCCACACCCCCAGCTTTAAATGAGGTATAACATGCCATGGTCACACCAGGGCCTGCCGGTGGGTCTCATGAGTGTCAGGGTTAATAACAATAACAAATCCATATTTAACGTGAGACTGAATATCGTAGCCTTGGTCCTTCCAACACAAATCCCATTCCTGGTGCACAGATGAACCACGGTGTGTTCTTCTCTGACTACACCTCAGTCTGTGAAATCCCCCATCAGCCCCAGCTCCTGCCGTCGGCTCGGCCCGCTCCGATCAATGAGCCTGGATTTCAGTAATCTGTCATTTGACATCTGCCTCTCCGCCATCGCCATGGAGACTTCCATCTGGATTGGCCAAACAGAGAATGTCTGGGTTTGTGAGCTGCTCGTTCAGACCCACGTGTGGCAGGAGCCGCCATCGCAGATTTTTATCCGTCGTCACCAACGAGCTGCGACGGCGCCATAAATAATGCACCAAAGCTTCTGCCTCGTCCCCGGTGTCAACAATGGATACAACACAGCTGGGTGTTTATCAGGGACCATGGAGGCACACAGAGGACCAGGAAGGACTGACCATGTAGAAATAGGACCATGTAGAAATAGGACCATGTAGAACTGACCATGTAGAAATAGGACTTACCATGTAGAAATAGGACAAGCAGCAGCCGATGGTCCAGAACACGGAGCCCGTCTTCACAGACTTCACCTGCAGGAACAAAGAGGAATGAGATTTGTTGAGAATATTTAGTGTAAAAAGAACATTAAAGCTGCACTATCTGACTTTGGGGTTTTGAAGCCGTGGACTCGCTCTTTCTCCTCCCCGCACCCACGAAGCTATCGCCCCCACACACACCCACTGTTGTTTACGGAGCTAGCGTCTCCCAATATGGATAGAATCATGTATCATACATTTGCCACGTGCAAATGTACGATACATGATTCTATCCATATTGGCGTGACCATAGAACGATGGAACCGGGAAGCGCGGAGGAACGAGACTTTCTTTTGGACGGCCGTCTCGCTGTGTAAGCAGAAACCGGTGACGAACAATACCTGATGTGGAACAGACACAGTTCCAGTGTTTCCTTCAGAGCCTTACGCCACGATACAGAGTTGTTATAAATACCTCCGTTTGATAAGAAAACACACGTACACGTTTTATTCCAAGTACACATTTTATTCCATTCATTTGAGATTATTGTCTGATAATCTTGCCTCATGCGTCTTTTTGCAATATGTAAATGTCTTACTTTAATATTTTAGCCGAACACAAAGATCACTTTCATTGATTGAAAAGTGAATAATATTTTTTTATATAAATGTGTCTTTTGTCGGTGTCAGCCTCTAACTTTACATGTCAGCAAAGGCTTTACTCAGATCAAATTAGCAATCAGTGGATGTTTTTGAGAAGAAATACTGCCCAAAGCTCCCAAACCATCCTCAAATAAAAGAAAAGAAAACATGTAAAAGTTGACTGAAAAGTGAGATATTTGAATGATTTCTTATAAGACCAAATATTTCAAACTATTCAGCTTTTTATGCATTATTTAAAACTTATATACAGAGATGCAGCCAAGAGGCCCATGATCACTCTGGATGAACTGCAGATAACTACAGCTGAGGTGGGAGTCTGTCCATAGGACAACAATCAGTCGTGCACTGCACAAATCTGGCCTTTATGGAAGAGTGGCAAGAAGAAAGCCATTTCTCAAAGATATCCATAAAAAGTCTCGTTTAAAGTTTGCCACAAGCCACCTGGGAGACACACCAAACATGTGGAAGAAGGTGCTCTGGTCAGATGAAACCAAAATGGAACTTTTTGGCCACAATGCAAAACGATATGTTTGGCGTAAAAGCAACACAACTCATCATCCTGAACACACCATCCCCACCTCAGCTGTAGTTATCTGCAGTTCATCCAGAGTGATCATGGGCCTCTTGGCTGCATCTCTGATCAGTCTTCTCCTTGTTTGAGATGAAAGTTTGGAGGGACGGCCGGGTCTTGGTAGATTTGCAGTGGTCTGATACTCCTTCCATTTCAATATAATTGCTTGCACAGTGCTCCTTGAGATGTTTAAAGCTTGGGAAATCTTTTTGTATCCAAATCCGGCTTTAAACTTCTCCACAACAGTATCTCAGACCTGCCTGGTGTGTTCCTTTGTCTTCATGGTTCTCTCTGTGCTTTAAACAGAACCCTGAGACTATCAAAGAGCAGGTGCATTTATACGGAGACTTGATTACACACAGGTGCATTCTATTTATCATCATCAGTCATTTAGGACAACATTGGATCATTCAAAGATCCTCACTGAACTTCTGGACTGAGTTTGCTGCACTGAAAGTAAAGGGGCCCAATAATATTGCACGCCCCACTTTTCAGTTTTTTATTAGTTAAAAAAAGTTTAAATTATCCAACAAATTTCATTCCACTTCACGATTGTGTCCCACTTGTTGATTCATGACAAAAAATAAATAAAATAAAAAATCTTTATGTTTGAAGCCTGAAATGTGGCGAAATGTTGAAAGGTTCAAGGGGGCCGAATACTTTCGCAAGGCACTGTATTTATAACCTGAGAGAATATTATGTGAGAGTAAGGAAGGGGGGGGAAGGGGGGAGGATGGGGGAGAGAGGAGAGGGTTTATGTTAAAGGTTAGTGATTTGTGATGGGATGGGTGTAGTTAGGTGGTATATATGGGATGGAGTGGGTGATGATGATGATGGGTGGTATTATGGGGGGGTGATGGATTTGTGAAGATCCGCTCAGAAACAAGTGCAAACTAAAGAATCAGAATCATTTTTATTGCCACGTAAAGAACAATATTCCAGTGATTTGTCTTAAAGACAAGTGTCTCTTTTCTAACGCTGGTCTCTTTCTAACGCTGGTCTCTTTCTTACGCTGGTCTCTTTCTTACGCTGGTCTCTTTCTAACGCTGGTCTCTAACGCTGGTCTCTTTCTAACGCTGGTCTCTTTCTAACGCTGGTTTCTAACGCTGGTTTCTAACGCTGATCTCTTTCTAACGCTGGTTTCTAACGCTGATCTCTTTCTAACGCTGATCTCTTTCTAACGCTGGTTTCTAACGCTGGTCTCTTTCTAACGCTGGTTTCTAACGCTGGTCTCTTTCTTACGCTGGTCTCTTTTCTAACGCTGGTCTCTTTTCTAACGCTGGTCTCTTCTCTAACGCTGGTCTCTTTTCTAACGATGGTCTCTTTTCTAACGCTGGTCTCTTTCTAACGCTGGTCTCTTTCTAACGCTGGTCTCTTTCTAACGCTGGTCTCTTTCTAACGCTGGTCTCTTTTCTAACGCTGGTCTCTTTCTAACGCTGGTCTCTTTCTAACGCTGGTCTCTTTTCTAACGCTGGTCTCTTTTCTAACGCTGGTCTCTTTCTAACGCTGGTCTCTTTCTAACGCTGGTCTCTTTTCTAACGCTGGTCTCTTTCTAACGCTGGTCTCTTTCTTACGCTGGTCTCTTTTCTAACGCTGGTCTCTTTCTAACGATGGTCTCTTTCTTACGCTGGTTTCTAACGCTGGTCTCTTTCTAACGCTGGTCTCTTTCTAACGCTGGTTTCTCTTTCTAACGCTGGTTTCTAACGCTGGTCTCTTTCTAACGCTGGTTTCTAACGCTGGTCTCTTTCTAACGCTGGTTTCTAACGCTGGTTTCTAACGCTGGTCTCTTTCTAACGCTGGTCTCTTTCTAACGCTGGTCTCTTTCTAACGCTGGTCTCTTTCTAACGCTGGTTTCTAACGCTGGTTTCTAACGCTGGTCTCTTTCTAACGCTGGTTTCTAACGCTGGTCTCTTTCTAACGCTGGTCTCTTTCTAACGCTGGTCTCTTTCTTACGCTGGTCTCTTTCTAACGCTGGTCTCTTTCTAACGCTGGTCTCTTTTCTAACGCTGGTCTCTTTCTAACGCTGGTCTCTTTCTAACGATGGTCTCTTTCTAACGCTGGTCTCTTTCTAACGCTGGTCTCTTTCTAACGCTGGTTTCTAACGCTGGTCTCTTTCTAACGCTGGTTTCTAACGCTGGTCTCTTTCTAACGCTGGTCTCTTTCTAACGCTGGTTTCTAACGATGGTCTCTTTCTAACGCTGGTTTCTAACGCTGGTTTCTAACGCTGGTCTCTTTCTAACGCTGGTTTCTAACGCTGGTCTCTTTCTAACGCTGGTTTCTAACGCTGGTCTCTTTCTAACGCTGGTCTCTAACGCTGGTCTCTTTCTAACGCTGGTTTCTAACGATGGTCTCAGGTGCTGAATAATTCATCCCGAGCCTTGAAAGCCAAACTGGTCGTGTGGATCCAGGAAACAGCACAATACCGTAACCTTTAAGAGCAGCTTGTTTCATCTACAACTTTCACCAACAGTACAGGTAAATATTTGATTATATTAAGAAATATTTTAACCATCTATTATGAAATTCTTCCTTATTAGTCAAAAAATTGTCATAGTCACAAAGTTGCTGTCATTGCTAGCTTCATTATCCACACGATGGCTTCAGCAGGACCGGGTGGACCAGACACCACGGACACCACTCTATGGGATTTCTTGAGAGGTCGAGGTGTCTCTGAAAGTGGCATACTAACAAATGGCTAGCTTAATGCATTAGCGGTTAGTCAGACAGAATGCTATTCAAATGCAGAAAAGAATCATAACGTCAAACTTTAAACGTTGGAAGTACCTTATCTTGTTGCATTTCCCTAATGCCACTTTCTTAATATAATCAAATATTTACCTGTACTGTTGGTGAAAGTTGTAGATGAAACAATGAACTGCATGCAGCCTGCCTCATGAGATTTTTTTTTTATTTCATTTTTTATCTCATAATTATGAGATAAAAAATGAAAAAAAAAAAATTCTATCTCATAATTATGAGATAACTATCTCATAATTATGAGATAGTATCTCATAATTATGAGATACTATCTCATAATTATGAGATCTTTTTTTTTTTTTTAAGTGACAACAATGCTCTTCCGTATATTTCACATAAATTGGACAAAAAGCAAATGAAAGGTCTATTGAACAACAGCTGCTTTACATTTTACTGCAGCAAAGAAACTTAAAGTCCGTAGGAGAGAGAAGGTTGTCTAGACACATTCATGGACTCAATAAAAGCATTTTATGAACAAGTCTGAATTTCTATGTTTTTTCTTTGCATTTTTGGCGTTGGACTAAACCACTGAGATTTGGAATCAGGAAAGTCGACTCTAAGCCTCTTTGCTGAAACATTTTCTGGTGAATTGGAGCCAGTTTGGAGTATTTTCCATAATGCAGAATAAAGGCAGTGGTTTGTCGTTACCCTCAGAGAGAGGATATTCCATGACCTAGTTTCAGACAGAACTACTTCCACACAGACCAAAGCCACTGGGTCCAGGACGATGCAGTTTGTTTACGTGAGATCTGGCAACGAAGCAGAAGCTGGACTTGATCTCCACATTTGGAGAATAATGATTTGAATGAATTCAAACCAAACATAAATGAAATGTTACCAGTGTTTACCATCGTCCCAAAGGATCTTATGGTGTTTTACAGACACGACATTTCAAAAACAGTGGATTTGTGATTTTGCAGGGGTGTCCAAACTTTAGGAAGAGGCCACTTTAGTTCCCGAGAGTAGTCCAGGGGCCGACGTCACGGACTGAAAAACTGTCTTGACTGACATCGGGCTGTTCTGAGCTTTATGATGATCTATAACAGAGCTGAAGTTGGCTGAATGACACATGTTTACCCTTCCACCATCTCAAGTCAACGACTGAATTCCAGACGTACTGGGCTTTATTGGTTGAGCTGAAGTTGGATGGATGACACTGTGAACTCGTGTTTATGATCTCAAAGATTACTGTGGGTTAGAGAGGTCCTCCACCTCACAGTGGGCGGGTCCTCCACCTCACAGTGGGCGGGTCCTCCACCTCACAGTGGGCGGGTCCTCCACCTCACAGTGGGCGGATCCTCCACCTCACAGTGGGCAGATCCTCCACCTCACAGAGGGCGGGTCCTCCACCTCACAGTGGGCGGATCCTCCACCTCACAGTGGGCGGATCCTCCACCTCACAGTGGGCAGGTCCTCCACCTCTTTAGAACAGACCTGCTACTGCCTGCTGCTTAAAGCTTCAGTTCTTAAAGATAGAAACTCTGCACAGGATGTTCCTCAGATCTGAGTTTTAGAGAAGATGCAGACAGTATCAGTCACATGTGGATCAGTACTGGATCAACAATGACACATTATGATGCTGTTTGTTCTGGGAGGCAGGGGGTGCTTCAGTTCAGGGGTTGCTTTAATCCAGGGGTTGCTTTAGTCCAGGGGGTGACCTCAGTCCAGGGGGTGACCTCAGTCCAGGGGGTGACCTCAGTCCAGGGGGTGACCTCAGTCCAGGGGGTGACCTCAGTCCAGGGGGTGACCTCAGTCCAGGGGGTGACTTTAGTCCAGGGGGTGACTTTAGTCCAGGGGTGACTTTAGTCCAGGGGTGACTTTAGTCCAGGGGTGACTTTAGTCCAGGGAGGGCTTGAGTCCAGGGGGTGACTTTAGTCCAGGGGTGACTTTAGTCCAGGGGTGGCTTGAGTCCAGGGGGTGACTTTAGTCCAGGGGTGACTTTAGTCCAGGGGTGACTTTAGTCCAGGGAGGGCTTGAGTCCAGGGGGTGACTTTAGTCCAGGGGTGACTTTAGTCCAGGGGTGGCTTGAGTCCAGGGGGTGACTTTAGTCCAGGGGTGACTTTAGTCCAGGGGGTGACTTTAGTCCAGGGGGTGACTTTAGTCCAGGGGTGGCTTGAGTCCAGGGGGTGACTTTAGTCCAGGGGTGACTTTAGTCCAGGGGGTGACTTTAGTCCAGGGGTGACTTTAGTCCAGGGGTGACTTTAGTCCAGGGGTGGCTTTAGTCCAGGGGTGACTTTAGTCGAGGGGTGACTTTAGTCCAGGGGGTGCTTTAGTCCAGGGGGTGACTTTAGTCCAGGGGTGACTTTAGTCCAGGGGTGACTTTAGTCCAGGGGTGCTTTAGTCCAGGGGTGACTTTAGTCCAGGGGGTGCTTTAGTCCAGGGGTGCTTTAGTCCAGGGGTGACTTTAGTCCAGGGGTGACTTTAGTCCAGGGGTGGCTTGAGTCCAGGGGTGACTTTAGTCCAGGGGTGACTTTAGTCCAGGGGGTGCTTTAGTCCAGGGGTGACTTTAGTCCAGGGGGTGCTTTAGTCCAGGGGTGCTTTAGTCCAGGGGTGCTTTAGTCCAGGGGTGACTTTAGTCCAGGGGTGGCTTGAGTCCAGGGGTGACTTTAGTCCAGGGGTGACTTTAGTCCAGGGGTGGGCTTGAGTCCAGGGGTGACTTTAGTCCAGGGGTGGCTTGAGTCCAGGGGTGACTTTAGTCCAGGGGGTGACTTTAGTCCAGGGGGTGCTTTAGTCCACACCTGCCCTTTAACCCGTGCTTCAGTCTAAGTCACAGTAATGAGAGTTGGACGTTGTAATAATATTTTACCAGAATGATTTCATCCATTAATCTTCCACAGACAAGAGCAGGGTGTGATCACAAAACATTAAAACTCAAAGTGGACTGAGGTCGTTTGCGGGTTGTCCTCCTTCGTCTTGTTGCCCACTGGAGTAAAGCCAATTATATAAAACTTTGATTACACATAAACTTGTTCTACCCGTGTTTTTTCCCCGTGTGTGCGTCCGAAGGCACACGGGAACCTCCAATCTTCATTATGCCGAGAGTTCAACGCCTCCGCTAATAACCCATTCAACTCTCCCGCCCTAATCTCAGTTTAGCCACGAAACCCTCCCACATTCATCCATAATCTATAATTGAATCCTCTCACACCCAAAAGAACTGCCCTTTGAAAAAACCACCTCAGAAACATGGCGCCCGCTGCATTAACCCGGGTCATCTTTGTTGTGACTGTAATTCCACTGTTTTCTCCCCATCATTTTCAATTAACAGTTTGGAAACGTGACCACTGGAGAAATACGGTTCTTTGGTTTCACAGGATCAAGAATCGTTTGCCCCAAAAGGAAATATAAATAAGACGATTTTAAAAACGTGATAACGACAGAGCTTCAGTCTTTACGCTTTGATGTAGGACAAGCATGAAATAAAACACTAGTGGAAAAGTGTCTAAGTCGCTCCCAGCTGATCGTGTGATCTAATTATATTTAATGAGTTAATACTTTTGCAAAGTTCTGAAGTTGGAAGAGAAACCTCACGGTGCTCTAGAGACTGGTGACATAAAAAACTGAGTGGTTAGCACTCTCGCTTCTCAGCAAAAAAAGGTCCCGGGTTCGAATCCCGGTCGGAGCAGGGCCTTTCTGAGTGGAGTTTGCATGTTCTCCCCGTGTCTGCGTAGGTTTCCTCCGGGTACTCCGGTTTCCCCTACCACTAAAAATATGTCCAATAGTTCTAGCATGCGCCTCCTGTACTGGCCCCGCTCCCATCTCTGTGTGGAGTGAGAGACAAATGCCCAAAATTAACAATTGTAAACCGCTTTGAGACTCAGATCTGCAGTGAAAAGGCGGTATATAAATAAAAACTTACTTACTTACTTACTTACTCCAGGTACTGCGGTTTCCCCTACCACTAAAAACATGCACAGTAGTTCAGGGTGAATGAGTGTTTGTGAATGTGGGACTAACCCAACGCTACAGTCTGGAGTGATGTGTTCATGATGTACCGTCTCAACCAAATAAACTATAAATAAATAAAAGCTATTTCCTAGTCTGTGACCTCCTGTTACTTACCTGGCAATAAAAAATATTCTGATTCTGATTCTAATAAACCAATACTTCTTTAACTGATAACAGTAGTTCAGGGATAGTCGAATTTCAAAATTAGTTTTCAGTTGGATGTGCCGCTCGATCTCTGGGTCAGGACCACAGCTGGAGGATTTACCTTTTGTACGAGAACATCATGCAAACTCCACTCAGAAAGACCCTGTTTCGACTGGGACTCGAACCCAGGAATGCTAACCACTCAGCCACTGTGCCCAATCCAAACAGAGGTTCCTCAAACACAGTAAATGGAATGGTCCCGTACCCAGAGGTAGTAGGTGAACTGCAGAGCGAAGATGGCGATGCCCTCGTTGTCGAAGGACCCGGCCACAGATCTGGAGATGTACCCAGGCACGATGGCGATGAAGCAGGCGGCCAGAAGCCCCGCCCCCTGGTTCCACAGCTCGCGGGTCAGCAGGAACGTGGAGATGGCGGTGAGTCCACTGAAGACCGGCGCCAAGAACACGCACACGTCCCGGATGTGGACCGTGATGTGGAGGAGGTTCAGCACGTAGTGGATCAGCCCCGCCGTCACCATCAGCCCGGGGTACACCTGAGAGAGGAGGAGAGAGGAGGTGTTAGTGCACCTGAGGGAGGAGAGAGGAGGTGTTAGTGCACCTGAGAGAGGAGGAGGAGAGAGGAGGAGAGAGGAGGTGTTAGTGCACCTGAGAGAGGAGAGAGGAGGTGTTAGTGCACCTGAGAGAGGAGGAGGAGAGAGGAGGTGTTAGTGCACCTGAGGGAGGAGAGAGGAGGTGTTAGTGCACCTGAGAGAGGAGGAGGAGAGAGGAGGTGTTAGTGCACCTGAGAGAGGAGGAGAGAGGAGGTGTTAGTGCACCTGAGAGAGGAGGAGAGAGGAGGTGTTAGTGCACCTGAGAGAGGAGGAGGAGAGAGGAGGAGAGAGGAGGTGTTAGTGCACCTGAGAGAGGAGGAGGAGAGAGGAGGAGAGAGGAGGTGTTAGTGCACCTGAGAGAGGAGGAGGAGAGAGGAGGTGTTAGTGCACCTGAGAGAGGAGGAGGAGAGAGGAGGTGTTAGTACACCTGAGGGAGGAGAGAGGAGGTGTTAGTGCACCTGAGGGAGGAGAGAGGAGGTGTTAGTGCACCTGAGAGAGGAGGGTGTTAGTGCACCTGAGAGAGGAGAGAGGAGGTGTTAGTGCACCTGAGGGAGGAGAGAGGAGGTGTTAGTGCACCTGAGGGAGGAGAGAGGGGTGTTAGTGCACCTGAGAGAGGAGGTGTTAGTGCACCTGAGAGAGGAGAGAGGAGGTGTTAGTGCACCTGAGGGAGGAGAGAGGAGGTGTTAGTGCACCTGAGAGAGGAGAGAGGAGGTGTTAGTGCACCTGAGGGAGGAGAGAGGAGGTGTTAGTGCACCTGAGAGAGGAGAGAGGAGGTGTTAGTGCACCTGAGGAGGGGGTAGTGCACCTGAGAGAGAGAGAGAGAGGTGTTAGTGCACCTGAGAGAGGAGGAGAGAGGAGGTGTTAGTGCACCTGAGAGAGGAGGAGGAGAGAGGAGGTGTTAGTACACCTGAGAGAGAGGAGGAGAGAGAGGAGGTGTTAGTACACCTGAGAGAGAGGAGGAGGTCACTGAGAGAGGAGAGGAAGAGGAGGTGTTAGTACACCTGAGAGAGGAGGAGGACAGAGGAGGTGTTAGTACCTGAGGAGGACAGAGGAGGTGTTAGTCACCTGAGAGAGGAGGAGGAAGAGGAGGTGTTAGTACACCTGAGAGAGGAGGACAGAGGAGGTGTTAGTACACCTGAGAGAGGAGGACAGAGGAGGTGTTAGTACACCTGAGAGAGGAGGACAGAGGAGGTGTTAGTACACCTGAGAGAGGAGGAGGAGAGAGGAGGTGTTAGTACACCTGAGAGAGGAGGAGGACAGAGGAGGTGTTAGTACACCTGAGAGGGACAGAGGAGGTGTTAGTACACCTGAGAGAGGAGGAGGAGAGAGGAGGTGTTAGTGCACCTGAGAGAGGAGGAGGACAGAGGAGGTGGTGTTAGTACACCTGAGAGAGGAGGAGAGAGAGGAGGTGTTAGTACACCTGAGAGAGGAGGACAGAGGAGGTGTTAGTACACCTGAGAGAGGAGGACAGAGGAGGTGTTAGTACACCTGAGAGAGGAGGACAGAGGAGGTGTTAGTACACCTGAGAGAGGAGGACAGAGGAGGTGTTAGTACACCTGAGAGAGGAGGACAGAGGAGGTGTTAGTACACCTGAGAGAGGAGGACAGAGGAGGTGTTAGTACACCTGAGAGAGGAGGAGGACAGAGGAGGTGTTAGTGCACCTGAGAGAGGAGGACAGAGGAGGTGTTAGTACACCTGAGAGAGGAGGAGGAGAGAGGAGGTGTTAGTACACCTGAGAGAGGAGGACAGAGGAGGTGTTAGTGCACCTGAGGAGGAGGACAGAGGAGGTGTTAGTGCACCTGAGAGAGGAGGAGGACAGAGGAGGTGTTAGTGCACCTGAGAGAGGAGGACAGAGGAGGTGTTAGTACACCTGAGAGAGGAGGACAGAGAGGTGTTAGTACACCTGAGAGAGAGGGAGGAGAGGAGGGTTAGTACACTGAGAGAGGAAAGAGGTGTGTTAGTACACCTGAGAGAGGAGGACAGAGGAGGTGTTAGTAGTACACTGAGAGAGGAGGACAGAGGAGGTGTTAGTACACCTGAGAGAGGAGGACAGAGGAGGTGTTAGTACACCTGAGAGAGGAGGAAGAGGAGGTGTTAGTACACCTGAGAGAGGAGGACAGAGAGAGAGGTGTTAGTACACCTGAGAGAGGAGGAAGAGGAGGTAGCATGAGAGAGGAGAGAGGAGGAGAGGAGTGTTAGTGCACCTGAGGACACCTGAGGAGGTCTGAGTACACCTGAGAGAGGAGGAGGACAGAGGAGGTGTTAGTGCACCTGAGAGAGGAGGAGGACAGAGGAGGTGTTAGTACACCTGAGAGAGGAGGTGTTAGTGCACCTGAGAGAGGAGGTGTTAGTGCACCTGAGAGAGGAGGACAGAGGAGGTGTTAGTGCACCTGAGAGAGGAGGAGGACAGAGGAGGTGTTAGTGCACCTGAGAGAGGAGGACAGAGGAGGTGTTAGTGCACCTGAGAGAGGAGGAGGACAGAGGAGGTGTTAGTACACCTGAGAGAGGAGGTCTTACTTTATCCTTTTCATGTGAACACACAAACACACACACACAAACACACACACACAGAACAAAATATAATCTTTCTCTGTAAATGCAGGAGGCCTCAAGAAGCGTAAAAAGCAGATGTTTGACACATATAAAAGTGTGATTAGATTCAGTATTTAGTTTAAAAGTCAGTTTTGTAATCGGTGCAATTGGTCCATAAATGTTTGCAGTAAATGTCATGTTTTAAAAGTCCGTGGATCGTCGCGGTCCTGAAACCCGCCTCAGCATTTACACATCAGCACTTACATTTGTGTGTCTATATTCTGCCTCTCGACCCGACGGTTTTGATTGCAATTTTCAGAGAACCAAAAATAAATTTAAAAAAGCATTTCACAGATTGAAAACGTTTATCTCTGAAAGAATAAGCCTCAGAAACCTGCTGTGGAGATATTTGTCATTTAATAAGTTTTGCAAACGCAGCTTTAAGCGTCGTATAAAGAGCTTCACAAATGTAAGAGAAATGGGAAATATAAAGAAAACACAGATAAATACATTAACTTAAGCTTTAACATTAAGCTTCTACTGCATTAGTTTGTACTATTCACTACTTTTATGTCTCTAAAGTTCTGTATGTTTAGCTCAAGGACGACGTGTTTACACCTCTTTCTTTCACAGATCATTTTAATTAATAAAACTCTCACATCTGAAAACCGCTGCAGCTTTAGAGCGTCATAGAAACATGGACAAACACAGCTTTCATTCAGTTCAGACGATTCAAACATCCGCCATGGGCTGGAATCAAGACCTTATTTCTGAGTTGGTAACGGCCTAGCAACCAAAGAGCCAATCAGGAGCCAATCTGTGAGCCGAAGCTCAAGTTGACCCGATTGGTAAGTAAGTAAGTAAGTAATGTTTATTTATATACAACATGTTACAGACCAAGGTACAGACCCAAAGCACTTTCCAATGTTCAGAGTCAGATATTGTTCCAATCCTTCCACACACGGTGATGACAGAAGCGAGTCCAGAACACACTGGACCATCAAAGCCTCTGACCCAACACCATCATTCACTCTCTCATTTACATTCAGACCTATTGTGCATGTTTTTAGTGGTAGGGGAAACCGGAGCACCCGGAGGAAACCTACACAGACACGGGGAGAACATGTAAACTCCACTTAGAAAGGCCCTGTTCTGACCGGGATTCGAACCCAGGACCTTCTTGCTGAGAAGCGAGAGTGCTAACCACTCAGCCACCGTGCCGTTGATTGGTCAGTTGTTAGGGCTCATATCTGGCTTTAAAGAGACATTATCAAAATAAAAACATGAGGTCCAAAAGAGTGAGACACAGAATGAGGAGTTCATTGTAAGTAGTAATAAAAACTTTAGGGACTGTAGACAAAAGGTGAGGTGTAGCGATAATCTGGAGTAGAATATAATCTGTTTTTGAGTTCAATGTTGTTGTGCACGGTCCTTAAGATACAGATTAAACTAAACTAAACTAAACTAAACTAAAGCCTGAGCACTTCATGGATCTAGCTTTAGTCCATGCACCTTCTGAACCTCGCTTCTAAACCCTTTCAGCTCACCAAAGGATTAAGAATTAACCAATGATACTGAATGAATACATTTGAGTCATGACATATTTATTACACGTATAAATACAGTGTTAAAGTATTTTACATGTTTCCAATGTTCTGACATAATTATTATTATCTAAGGAGTAGCTCTCTGCCTCTTCTGTATAAAACATTAAGAGATCCTTTAATCGTCCAACAGTGGGATATTGGCTCTGATGGAAAAACGTTGACCCCTGTTCTATAATCTACATTTATAATCTGTATTTTTCAGATTATAAATTGCTCTGTAGTATAAATCACACAAGCCAAAAACGCATAACAAAGACGGAAAAAAACAGTCGCGTTTTTTAGGGAAATTGCTGAACCTATTAATTGATATTTTATGTTAAATATAACATGTAATAATTTCACACATAAATCCTCGGCCAAACTGTGGCAAAAACATCGATTTATAATCCGAACAATACGGAATCTTCCAGCCACGTCTGAGTTTTCTGGTTTGATTAGAAACAGCATCAGTTATAATTACCTTCTTTCTTTGCTGTTTCCATCACTAGCTTTATCTCTGCTGATCCGATAACCAGCGGCGGACATCTTGGTAATGGATTCTCTGCCCGAGTTCAACAAAGGGCCAACCATGTAATTTGGTCGTTTAGTTTGACCCATCGCCGCAACTAATATTAAATCAACAATCAGCGGTGAATCTGCGAGTAACGGACCTAAATGAGCCAAAATCCACGGTTTACACAGCGTTTAGCAGGGTTTAATTACGGCGTGGTAAACTCTGGGCTCAGGCGTTCAGGACAGAAGATCCAATTAAGTCCTGCTGCAGTGTGTGTGTGAACATGTGAAGGATGTCCCCACAGCGCTGTTGTATGTGCGCAGATAAAACCACGTTGCTAATTACAGAGTCAGACCTGGAATCTTCATCAGAGAATCGACTTCAGTGGATAATCAGCGTTTCACCCTCAGGACTCGCGCTTCGTCTCATGGCGTCCACACAACACAGGTAATTATCGGCGCTGGTGCCGCTGTGCTACATTTCTATCTGCATTTTGATCATTTGTGATGTTTTAATCTTCATTTATGTACCTGTCTGGTGCACACTGGGGACTTTGGCAAATGTATTCCAATGTGGTTTTACGGAAAATGGAAAATAAAATGAATCTGAATCTAAAGACCCACGAGACCTTCTCAAAGACTTCCACTGATGACTGCTGTCGTTGTGTCCTTGGGCAAGACACTTAACCCACTTTAACTATAAATAACATGGAAGTATTGTTTGCTGCATGCCTTGATGTGTATATATCAAAGTGGAATTTCCACTGTGGGACTAAGAAAGGACCTTCTTCTAATATAATGCATTCTAGAGTCTATTGCCTGGTTACCCATTTAAAAAGAGATAATCAAACTTTATTAAGCGTATTTGACCTTGTCGTTAGGAGTGGTCAGTGCGACATCTTTGTAACTCTATTTTAAATTTAAATTTATTCTTTAGAAGTGTTTTTTATTCTTATTTTTATTATCTCTTTTTGACTGTTGCACTGAGCCAAAGCAATTTCCTAGTCTGTGACCTCCTGTTACTTACGTGGCAATAAAAATGATTCTGATTCTGATTCTTTACTTTTGATCACGGTTGTGTTAACAGCTCAGGATTATTTGTTTCGTAGGAGTTCTGGTGAGAGGAATAGGGGTTTTCTCTGCAAACCTGTTAAAACAATGGGTTCAGATCCCACAGACCACTGCTGACCACTCACACAGACGTAAGCTGTGAGAAGTATTACTGCAGTTTGGATGAGGCTTTATTCAGGTTTTATTGGAAAGTGTTAAAAATGCGTTTCAACCTCAGATTGACTGCAGTATGTTTGGAAACGTGACTGGGCTTTGAATTTCTAATGCTGAATACTAAACAAGCAATATTGCAACCCTGACGCATAAAAGGATTCTGATATCCACTCTGAAAATGGGATCTTTGCACCTCCTTTCCTTCATTTGGATCTGTATTGTGTGTTGGAAGCAAAGCAATGTGGAAAGTAAACATGTCTATAGTAGGGAAAGACCAGTGTGTGTCTGGGCTCTTACGGAGAATAAAAACATGAAGTATAAATTACAGACCTTCTCGTGGCCATAACCGTCATAAATATACTGTAACTTTTGTATTGATAAAGGTCAAAAAGCCTCTAGGAATCATCCAGTGTCATGTGGAAATATGGAGAGTCCGATCTGAAGGAGCAGTCCGAACACATTACGCCTAAAATAAGACAAAATAAGATATTCCTGTATTCATCCCACGGTGAAAAAATGTCAGTGCCATCGTTGCAGATTACAGCAGAGAAAGAAGGAAAAGACTCAGATGCAAACATCAGATAAAAGACATCCATCCATCTTCTTCCCCTTAATCCATTTCTGGGTCGGGGGGTGGCAGTCAGAGCACCAGCCCCTCACTGATCCTCCTGCAGGTGCTGAGTCCACAGGAGCTGACGTCTTTCAGTGGGAGCTTCAGGCAAAGTGGGGTTAAGTGTCTTGCCCAAGGACACAACGACCGCAGTCATCAGTGGGAGTCATGAAGTAGGTCTTAGTAAGTAAGTAAGTAATCTTTATTTATATACCGCCTTTTCACTGCACATCGGAGTCTCAAAGCGGTTTACAATTGTTATTTTTGGGAGTGGGGCCAGTACAGGAGGCACATGTCTTACAGTGAGTTTGAACCCATGATCTCCAGCCCCACAAGCCAGCGCTCTACCAACTGAGCCACTGTCGCCCCCAAAGATAAGATAAGATAAAAGACAGTAGTTTAAAATAATAATATGGTAAAATTGAATAGAATGAACTCTGGAGCTATAAATGCACTTGTTTCAGAAGTATTTACAGATGTGTTGTTTTTACTTTAGCAGCGGAGAATATGAGCAGAATATCATTAGTAAAAGGATGGATATGTAGTAATGCAGTAATAATAACAGGTAAAGAGACTAATGACTTAGCTACAAGTGAATTATCATCAGTGACAGACTCTGCAGTTCTCGTTATACAGTCTGACAGCAGCAGATGGATGGGTGTGTGTGGCTCGACGTGGATGTGTTTTCAAAGTCTGTCACATTAGAAAGGCTTCCTCTCTTTATCTAACGCACTGGAGACAGGCAGTGACAGGGGTCCTCGGGGAGGGGCCGGGGCTGAAAGACAGAGGCCAAACCGGACCGAGCCACGCACAGAAGCATTCAGCTGTCACACAATCGGATATGGACCTGTCGTTAGCCGCCACCGCATCATACACAATTAATGAGCACTGTCAGGGATGACGTTTGGTTTCAGAGGAAGAAGCTGCGGAAGGAGAGGTGTGATCCAAAACAAGTCCAAGGAGAGGATACGATGGATTTTTGGTTTAGTATTGTGAGAAATCAAACACACCCCTCTGCTCCGCCCTCCCACAGCAGAGATAGTCCGAGAAGAGATAGTCCGAGCAAAGATAGTCCGAGCGTAGATAGTCCGAGCGTAGATAGCAGCAGTAGAGAGAGAACATGTAAACAGATTTACTCAGAGCCAAAGGGTCACAGCCCACTACCTGCTCAGGAAAGGGCATCAAGTAAGTAAGTAAGTAATTATTTATATACCGCCTTTTCACTGCAGAGCTGAGTCTCAAAGCGGTTTACAATTGTTATTTTTTTTTGGGCACTTGTCTCTCACTCCACACAGAGATGGGAGCGGGGCCAGTACAGGAGGCGCATGCCAGAACTATTTTACATATTTTTAGCGGTAGGGGAAACCGGAGTACCCGGAGGAAACCTACGCAGACACGGGGAGAACATGCAAACTCCACTCAGAAAGGGCCTGGTCCGACCGGGATTCGAACCCAGGACCTTCTTGCTGAGAGGCGAGAGTGCTATCCACTCAGCCACCGTGCCGCCCAACCACAACGTGACAAGTGTTTGAGATGCTCTGAAATCAGATTATATTCCCTACAGATGCTACATTTGGAGAATAGTTTTTCAACACATTGGAAGTGGGAGTAAAATAGCAGATTTTAATATAACCAAATGTTATGCAAATAGGTAAGAGACTTGAACAAAACATACATTTATAGAACCATCAGAGCGTCCTCGTGTCTGCACTAAACTACTGCTTCTATTGTTTAGTGCTTAAATGGAAAACTTCATGAATGAGTCTGCACTTTGCAAATGACATCGTCAGATCCTTGGCTCGTGTCCATCTCCTGCAGTCTAAGATCTTAACAGTCGCTATAGATTTGCATTTGATAAAGGACCATTAGCATTGAGCTAAGTAAATGCTATCTCCATCAGTCGCTAACTTCTGCGAAGTTAGCGACTTCGCAGAAGTCCATGACTCCAAAGTGGGTCATGGACGTGCACAAGTCCACAGCAGGATACTCTGATTCCATATTTGTTGTGTAAAATAAGAATAGTTTATACCAATATTAAACTTAGCATCCGCCCACTCGGCTTCGGTGCGGACCCTGTGGGGATTAAAAAGTGCTTAAAAGTGCTTTAAAAGTGCTACGTTGAACTCAGTGCACAGCGGTGTGAGGAGGTTTTCCACAAAGGGTCCATTTTGAGCCGGACTCTGCGCACCTGGTCCAGTCTCCAATTAAAGAGTCGTTCTTGCAGCGACTGTCGTGACCCTCGCGGCTTCGAGCAGTTGACCAAAGTTCACTGAGAAACAGCCGGAAAGAAAGAACTGGAGCTGTTGTATTTAGCTGCTCTGAAAGTTACAGGAAAACAGGAGTAAACGTTTTGCCCAAAGCATCTTCTTAAAGTTCACACTGGATTCTAGCGACTAAAGGGTCTGAGCGTAAAGTCTAAAGTCTAAAGGTTAGAGTTTCTCCAGAACATGGAGCGACTTTGACGACCTCAAATGACCAAGAGGCTTTTCCTACAAATCAATAAAAAGAATGTAATCTTCATTAAACTGTGCCATAGAAAAGTGAAACCTTTAGTGAATATTCGAATATAGTTAAAAAGTTCCTCCTTTAATAATCAGTCTCTTAAAGGAGGCTGCTGCAGTGAGACCACAGCCTTGATCTTTCAGCGGGGGCTTCAGGCAAAGTGGGGTTAAGTGTCTTGCCCAAGGACATGACAGCAGACAGGGGGAGGGGAAGCAAAGTGACAGATGCAGAACCTCACGTTCATTCACAAAATATTCACATTTTCTGAGATCTTTTATTTGTTTTTTTACAAACTTTGAGCCAAACCTCGACATTTTCACAAAAACAGCTCAATCTGACTTTGGGTGAACTGTGTTGTAGCGACGGAAACACCTTTGACAGATTGTCACCCGTACACTACATGCTTTTAACTTTCACTTATAGCAGTTGGTCTTTGGATCGGATGGTCGTGGGTTCGATCCCCCCACGACTCATGTCACCTGCTCTGTGCTGTTGTTGTGTTACTGGGCAAGACACTTAACCCACTTTGCCAAAAAAACCAAAGCCGTGTAATCAGTGACACAGCAGCCATCGACCCACCCCCTGCTGGAGGAGCAGTGAGGACCAGGAGGAGCAGAGAGGACCAGGAGGAGCAGGAGGAGCAGTGAGGACCAGGAGGAGCAGAGAAGACCAGGAGGAGCAGGAGGAGCAGTGAGGACCAGGAGGAGCAGAGAGGACCAGGAGGAGCAGGAGGAGCAGTGAGGACCAGGAGGAGCAGAGAAGACCAGGAGGAGCAGGAGGAGCAGTGAGGACCAGGAGGAGCACCAAGGACCAGGAGGAGCAGGAGGAGCAGGGAGGACCAGGAGGAGCAGAGAAGACCAGGAGGAGCAGAGAGGACCAGGAGGAGCAGAGAGGACCAGGAGGAGCAGGAGGAGCAGTGAGGACCAGGAGGAGCAGAAGGAGCAGTGAAGACCAGGAGGACCAGAGAGGAGCAGGAGGACCAGGAGGAGCAGAAGGAGCAGTGAAGACCAGGAGGACCAGAGAGGACCAGGAGGAGCAGGAGGATCAGAGAGGTCCAGGATGAGCAGGTGGAGCAGAGAGGACCAGGATGAGCAGGATGAGCAGAGAGGACCAGGATGAGCAGGATGAGCAGGAGGAGCAGAGAGGACCAGGATGAGCAGGAGGAGCAGGAGGACCAGTGAGGACCAGGAGGAGCAGCAGGATCAGAGAGGACCAGGAGGAGCAGGTGTTTTAAGGACTGGGTGCAGCTCTGACTTTCCAGAACCCAAAAATGTACAAATAAATGGGATGAAAATGACTTTTAAGATAATTATTGAGAAAGAAACAAATCCAGATCCTTAATGAAAAAAGGAAGAGAAAAACAAAACCATTACAAACATCACAACATTATTTATCACCGAGTCGTAGAAAATCTTCTAAAACCAAAACAAATGAGCTCAAAGTGACCAAAGGAAACAGATCGAGGACCAGAACAACCCTTAACAGGGCTTTGATTTCATCTGCAGCTGTCGGAGACGTGTGTTTGGGCTGGAGTAGAACCATCAACCTGACCTCAGTAAGAGCTGGTAATTGCCGAGAGACAGGGCCAGACATCTTTGGTCCGCGGTAACAAGAGAGAGATTAGCCTCCCACGGTGTGAACAATAACACTCTGTACCATTCCTTGCAATTATTTCTTTACAAGGAATGATGCCAAAATGATAAATTATTGTTTTTGGCAAGAACATAAAGGTACCTTCTGACCGCAATCACATCCAACAAAAGGTAAAATGAGCTCAAACTAAAGGCCGCGGTTGGAAAGAGTCGTTTGTCTTCACACATAAAGGGACAAATGACAGGGTTTTGACACAGGTCTATTATTATCATTACAACTGTGAGAACGGAGGCGGCTGGATCCACATTACAGATGATCTTTGACAGAGCCGCCATCATTTCATCGATTTGAAACTGTCACAAAGTCCAATCAGGTTTTTTGGTTTTGTAGAATACAGCAGGAATTCACTGGTACTTTATTCTTTATGCAGATATCCATTTTTTTCCCATCCATTTTCTACCCTTTAATCCATTTCTGGGTCAGGGGGGTGGCAGTCAGAGATGCCACCCAAGTCTCATAGCACCAGCCCCTCACTGACCCTCTGCAGGTGGTGAGTCCACAGGAGGACGGCTGCTCTCTGACTGTGAGCATAGCCTTGATCTTTCAGTGGGGGCTTTGGGCAAAGTGGGGTTAAGTGTCTTGCCCAAGGACACAACGACAGCAGTCATCAGTGGGAGTCGGTGGAGAAGGTGCAGAGGTGGGAATTGAACCCACAACCTTCAGGCCTGAAGGCCAATGCTCTACCAACTGAGCTACTGTCGCCCTCTTTATGCAGATAGTAACTGTACTATTCTTATAGTGATTATAATGTTTGCATTTTAATCATTTCAAATGTATATGTGTTCACAAAGTCACTGCACACTTCATATGATACATCTGATGGAGGGGATTAAATATGTCCCTGAGCTGTAATATTATAGTTAGAGACTGAGTGGGCGACTCCCACGGGCGACTCCCGCGGGCCACTCCCGCGGGCGACTCCCGCGGGCCACTCCCGCGGGCCACTCCCGCGGGCCACTCCCGCGGGCCACTCCCGCGGGCGACTCCCGCGGGCGACTCCCGCGGGCGACTCCCGCGGGCGACTCCCGCGGGCGACTCCCGCGGGCGACTCCCGCGGGCGACTCCCGCGGGCGACTCCCGCGGGCGACTCCCGCGGGCGACTCCCGCGGGCGACTCCCGCGGGCGACTCCCGCGGGCGACTCCCACGGGCGACTCCCACGGGCGACTCCCACGGGCGACTCCCACGGGCGACTCCCACGGGCGACTCCCACGGGCGACTCCCACGGGCAACTCCCACGGGCAACTCCCACGGGCAACTCCCACGGGCAACTCCCACGGGCGACTCCCACGGGCGACTCCCACGGGCAACTCCCACGGGCAACTCCCACGGGCGACCCCACAGGGGTTTCCAAGTTGGGGATTCCACTTTCAGAAGCAGAAGCAGAGAAACTAAACCCGACTTTGAGAATTGGCAGCGACTTTTTCAAACAGAAGAACATCATTGTATTTTTGTTTCTCTTTTAAAATATTCCTTTTCGACATCATGCACAAGACGATCATGTAAATCTGCGGGGGAATTGAACCCGAGACCTTAAGCTGTGAGGCAAGTTTGAAAAAGCCAAGACTTCTCTGGCTCCATTAAACGTATTCAATCAGTGAAACTCCTGAGATGGAAACAAAGAAGGGCACGTCAATTTAACAATAAAAACAGATCCATGTGGCTTTAGCCTTGAGCTATTGACACGAGCAGGAAGTAAGTCTCCGTGTCGCTTTCTAAGTCTTTTTAATTCTTTCTAATTCCTGCGAAGACGTTGGGAGCTCATGCGTGGCCCCATTCTGTGTTTGGTCTGGCTTCAGGGCAGAAAATATAATTATTTCAATGAATTATGTAGTAAAAGAGTGTTGCTGACATGCAGTGGAGACGGATACATTGCTGTGATCTTCAGATGAGCCCTGGTTTTAATTATATTACTTCTCATTCTCGTTTAAGAACAGAGGATTAGACATGAGACGGGTCTTTGTAGCTTCAAATGACCGCAAAGACCACTTTACTCTGACTTTGGATGCACGAGGGAAATTAGTTAAAAGCAGATTATTAAAGCAATTAAGAACACCGCGTTTGGAAACTGTTGGCGTCCTGTAAACCGGTGATATATATTTTATTCCACGTGTGCGCAAATACAATAACCTAGACTGGTCTTACCACACCATAGTACTCATTTCACTTCATACTAAGGTCTGGATTGTCTCCATTGACTCCGTGAACAGGTGGGAGGGGCTAACTCCTTTTGCAGATTGAAACCATTGGATCTGAGTTTACTGTGACGTATGTAATGAGCCTGAGTGAGTGAGGCATTTAGCCTAGCTTTAGCATTTAGCCTAGCTTTAGCATTTAGCCTAGCTTTAGCCAGCTTGAGCCACAACATCTTTGCTTCAATGACATTTACTAAACATTCCTCTTGCTCCGGCTTCAGTTTCTTGATATTTGGATTGAACCAGAACAGATTTTACTATCACATTCTCCGACAAACTACAACCAGCAAATTCAGCACAAACTCTTGACGTCACTGACACCGACCTACAACACCCGCCTCCCCCGCTCTCTGATTGGTCGGAGGGGATTCAACCGAGGAAACTGCAGCCAATAGGATCAGACCCAGACGTACATGTAGGAGATGACCATGGACCAGAGTTTACACATGGTAAGACCAGACGTACATGTAGGAGATGATCATGGACCAGAGTTTACACATGGTAAGACCAGACGTACATGTAGGAGATGATCATGGACCAGAGTTTACACATGGTAAGACCAGACGTACATGTAGGAGATGATCATGGACCAGAGTTTACACATGGTAAGACCAGACGTACATGTAGGAGATGATCATGGACCAGAGTTTACACATGGTAAGACCAGACGTACATGTAGGAAATGATCATGGACCAGAGTCTACACATGGTAAGACCAGACGTACATGTAGGAGATGATCATGGACCAGAGTTTACACATGGTAAGACCAGACGTACATGTAGGAGATGATCATGGACCAGAGTTTACACATGGTAAGACCAGACGTACATGTAGGAGATGATCATGGACCAGAGTTTACACATGGTAAGACTAAGCTAACACTGGGAATAATTATTTGTGACGCACTGATGCTGTTTAGATCTGTTTAGAGCCCTCATGATAAGTGCCTATTATTTCAGAGCCAACATGGTTTTCAATATTAAGAACAAAAATGTATTATGTAAAATTGTCCTTTTTGGAGCTTTTAGCCTCATCACGACATTGTTACTTCGTCAAAAATATGCAGGAGGATGTTTTTCTCCATTCACTGATGGTTATTGGACTTTAATACCATTATGTTCAGGCAACCGGGAAACTACAGGGAAGAAGCATGAGATATTTATAGAATACATAATGAGTAGAGAAACTGAATACTCTACCCTCCCCTACCCCACCCAACCCTATATTACCAACCCAACCATACTCCACCCTCCTCGACCCCACCCAACCCCACCCTTCTACACTCCACCCAACCCTAGGACACCCTACTACATCCTACGCAACCCCACTCTACCCTACCCCACCCCACTCTAACCTACCCCACCCCACTCTAACCTACCCCACCCAACCCCACCCTACCCAACCCCACCCTACCCAACCCCACTCTACCCTACCCCACTCTACCCTACCCCACCCCACTCTACTCTACCCTACCCCACCCCACTCTACTCTACCCTACCCCACCCCACTCTACCCTACCCCACCCCACTCTAACCTACCCCACCCCACTCTAACCTACCCCACCCAACCCCACCCTACCCCACCCAACCCCACTCTACCCTACCCCACTCTACCCTACCCCACTCTACCCTACCCCACTCTACCCTACCCCACTCTACCCTACCCCACCCCACTCTACCCTACCCCACCCCACTCTACCCTACCCCACCCCACTCTACACTACCCCACCCAACTCTACACTAGCCCACCCAACCCCACCCTACTCTACCCACCCCACCCCACCCCACCCCACCCACCCCACCCCACCCCCCACCCAACCCCACCCAACCCGGTACAGTCTCCTCGCTACCTAACCACAAAAAAAAAAAAAAAACAGTATCCAAAGAAATTCCTGGTTACCATGGCTTCCAGCAGACAAATCACAGACAGGTTTGTGCCATCTCTGTCTGGATAGAATCAGAGAAAAGCAGGTACTAAATAAGGACCAGGTACCATTAAAACGGGGTCTATGGTAGGCCGAGAGTCGGGCCAGGTGTGGTTGGTGGAGTCGGGGCTCATCCGTCCAATCAGAGAAGCTTCTGGCACCAACACGTCTCGTCTCCTACACACGGTTTTCAAACTAACAAAGTCGTCACAAATATAAGTATTGGCTCTGAATTAGTTTTGAGATTTTCTCCAAAAATTGCGTTCTTTAACATTGTGTGACATCAATCAGATAATCACACTGTAGCTGTAAAAGTAGAAGGTAATTTGAGAGTGTTGATAATATCTTATTCTGTTATAACAAATGTTGTACCCAAATCATTTCACAGCAACATTTCTCAAGATGACACAATATTTCTCACTCTTTAACATTGAATTAAATGAACACGTCTTTTCTAAGAGACATATTTCACTTCTGACTGCTATGAATGATCTATTACACCTCTGGCTCATTATTACACATTTAGTTTTAGCTCAATTTTGAGATTTTCAATGTTTTATGGGAGTGGAACCTGTGAAGAGTGAGGGGAGCGCGGTGTCTGATCACCACAGATGTGTTATATTATGTGGAAATGTTGCTTTAACGCGTCTCTAACGTGGACCAGGGGCCATAGAGGCTAAATCACTATAGACTCTGTGCTCACACAGAGGCTATAGCAGAGACAGAGACAGGTCAGATTCAGATTCAGATTCAGATTCATTTATTTCGCCATTTGCAGTATGTATACACCACATTGGAATACATTTGTAAAAGTTCCCCGTGTGCACAGGACAAGTACAGACACAAAACAACATTAAAAGACAAAAATAAAACAAATTTTAAAAACAGTAAACAAATGTCACAACAAATGTCACCGTGAAGTTGACCAACTTAAAACAGATCTATACGGGTGGGCAGACAGAGAGGTGGGCAGAGACAGAGACAGGTGGGCAGAGACAGAGACAGGTGGGCAGAGACAGAGACAGGTGGGCAGAGACAGAGACAGGTGGGCAGAGACAGAGGAGACAGGTGGGCAGAGACAGAGACAGGTGAGTCTCACTGAAAAGCAGAGGAGGATAGAACACTGACATTTCCAGTGACCTTTCAGGAAACAGAAGCAGCTGCAGCAAAGTGGAAGTCAAAGTGTAATGCGTTTTAAGAACCAGGAGTTGATTTTCTGTACGAGACGGGGAACAATGTCTCCCAGCAGGTGTTTTACGGCAGGTAAACAGGAAATAAGATTAAGCCAAAGAGAATTTATCAAGTGGATTTGTGGTGTAGTGGCTGCACAGCTGAACTCGCCGAGCTCGAGTCGAAACGTTGCTCAGTGAAGATTTATTTTGCACTCTGGACCTGGAAGAATCACTCCTCGCCGCACCAGGAAACTACCACTTTCAATGTGAAGTCAAACTGTTCCCACAGAGACTTCTCTTAAATGTCTTGGGACCATGTGTCATCACGCACAATTTCACACACACAAGATATTCAGGTTCTGGTGAAGTTGAACAGTCTGCCATAAACCTGCTTTTGCATTGATTCAATTCATTCTTATTGCTAAAAAGACAAGACAGTGAGTGAGGGGGCTTCCATCATGTGACAATGGTCGTTTTGGTGGAACAGGTTCAATTCAATCATATTTATTTTTGTATATCCATAAATCACAGCAGCCGTTATCTCAGAGGACTTTACAAAACAGTAGAATTCACACAGATCAGAGAATCAACGAGTTCAAGCACAAGAAATGCAATGATAAAAAAACATGGATCTATAATAACTGGAGATTACTCTGAGTATTACTTCCATCCATCCATCCATTTTCTTCCCCTTAATCCATTTCTGGGTCGGGGGGGTGGCAGTCAGAGCTGCACCCAGTACACTTAGCACCAGCCCCTCACTGATCCTCCTGCAGGTGGTGAGTCCACAGGAGCTGAGATCTTTCAGTGGGAGCTTCAGGCAAAGTGGGGTTAAGTGTCTTGCCCAAGGACACAACGACAGTAGTCATCAGTGGGAGTCGTGATGTAGGTCTTATGGTGGGCTCGAACCCACGACCTTCAGGCCCAAAGGCCAATGCTCTACCAACTGAGCTACTGTCGCCCCTTCTTTCTTACTTAGTGTTACTAGCTCATAGCCGCTGTACTGCAGACTAGATTCATGTAACCAAGGAAAATGTCCCATAGAACTCAGTGTAAACTAAAACAGCTCACCCTCAGCTAACAGTGAACCTGACAGAGAACCTAAAGAGACCCTGACAGCGACCCTGACAGAGAACCTGACAGAGAACCTAAAGAGACCCTGACAGAGAACCTGACAGAGAACCTGACAAAGAACCTGACAGAGAACCTAAAGAGACCCTGACAGCGACCCTGACAGAGAACCTAAAGAGACCCTGACAGAGAACCTGACAGAGAACCTGACAAAGAACCTGACAGAGAACCTAAAGAGACCCTGACAGCGACCCTGACAGAGAACCTGACAGAGAACCTGACAGAGAACCTGACAGAGAACCTAAAGAGACCCTGACAGAGAACCTGACAGAGAACCTGACAAAGAACCTGACAGAGAACCTAAAGAGACCCTGACAGCGACCCTGACAGAGAACCTGACAGAGAACCTGACTGAGAACCTGACAGAGAACCTGACAGAGAACCTAAAGAGACCCTGACAGAGAACCTGACAGAGAACCTAAAGAGACCCTGACAGCGACCCTGACAGAGAACCTAAAGAGACCCTGACAGAGAACCTGACAGAGAACCTGACAGAGAACCTGACAGAGAACCTGACAGAGAACCTGACAGAGAACCTGACAGAGAACCTGACAGAGAACCTAAAGAGACCCTGACAGAGAACCTGACAGAGACCCTGACAGAGAACGTTGGTATGTGGTGCAAAGCATTATGGGGGACCAGGACCAAATATGGGCAAAGCCACTGAGCACAAGACATTGATTTGAGCAGGCCGCCATCTTTGATCAGCCTGGCTTGTAGAAAATGCATAAAGCCATTGGTCCATAATGAGCGGAAAACTAATGTCCAGAAAAGAGGCCGACGGGGCATCGACCACCTCCAGAAGTGACCCCTGAACCACCATCGCCAAAAGGGCAGTGGATCCAGTTTACAAATGAGGAGTTTTCTTTGTTCTTCTTTGATTATTTTGTTTTCTTAAAGACGTTGATGCCAAGAGGGCGCAGCCTAACATCTTGATATTCTTGTCTAATATTGAACATTCATTTATTAAAAGCCTTGTTTCCGAAGCCAACAACTGTAACAACATAAACTTTCTGCTCAAAGTCAAACAGAGGAGGTTTGGCTCTCGAGGTCCGACTCGGGACTTGGTCTTGAAGCAGAGCCAGACCAGACCTGGTCCAGGCCTGAGCCCTCACACAAGTGCTGACTCCAGAGCTGCACTGATCCCACTGGGTTCACAGCAGAGGCCACGACTAATTAAGACAAACCATGTCTCATCAGCAAAAGCCGGAGGTGCCAGCTTTAAAAAACAGACTTTCCTTCATAAGAGAAAAAATATTGGTTTAGAGGGTTTTTGGACACTCAATGACACATGTCGTTCTTTCACGCCATACATGGGGTTGATGAGCAAGAAGTGTAGCCGCAGCTGCCCTGGGACAGATGAGGGAACTACTATGTGCCATTGGTCCCTCCGATCACCACCAATTCATTAAACACACACACTTCTAAAACAGACTCATTTAGTTCTAATCTCTCTCATACAAAACAATACAAAGCACATGCACTCACACACAGGCCAAAAAACTCTCTGACCCTACATCTCTCCATCACTTGCACTGGTGCTGAGGACATCTTTCCTCCAACTTCTTTAACATTTATTTTTACTTCTTCAGAAAACTCAGATACACATCAATAATAAAGTAACTTTGTTTGTATAATTGGTGACATTTTGTGGATTCCCTGAACATTACTGGTGCTGTTTTAAAGATAAACCAAATATTACAGATTCAGTTATTTTGCTGTGTTGAAAAAAATAAAAAATAAATCAAGCCTTTTTCTTCATATCAAAGTTTCCATTTTACATTGTCTCCATCCACAGCTCAAACATCGACAGCTTTTTATTCACAGACAAGCTGCTCTTTTGAATTAAAGGACATTTGGATGCACATAATGGGGAAGTATAGAACACATATGGATTATAATTAATTACTCTGATTATGGATGTTTTGTGCTACATGTTACCGTCATTCATATGAGAATATTATGTGTCTTTGGACGTATGGTCACAGGTGTAATGGGGATCGACAGGATACGTCTAGACTTCAGCCTAAACCTCTTTCAGTCTGGAATTATTCAGAACTATAATTCTTAATGGACACAATATAGTTCTTTTTTTATTACTGTAAAATGTACGATCTTTGAAAACATGTGACCTGAGATCTAATGTACATATGACCGAAGAACTGAACTACTACTAAGCTACATTACAGTGATCTTGGAGAGTCTGACTCCGCCTCTCTCTGAACACACTCCCCTCGTCCTGGTCCAGCTCCGGGACTCTCCAGACTCGTCCTGATCCTCCTCCGGGACTCTCCAGACTCGTCCTGATCCTCCTCCGGGACTCTCCAGACTCGTCCTGGTCCACCTCCGGGACTCTCCAGACTCGTCCTGATCCACCGCCGGGACTCTCCAGACTCGTCCTGGTCCACCTCCGGGACTCTCCAGACTCGTCCTGGTCCAGCTCCGGGACTCTCCAGACTCGTCCTGGTCCACCTCCTGGACTCTCCCAAAGGTCGCTCCACTCGCCCTCAGCCTCATTAACATTTCATTTCCCACTTCTCCCACTGTCGTCCCCAAGTCTGTCACATCTGCAAATGCAAACCCACGGACGGCATTTTAAAATAGACTTACTGTTCCGCCGACGATCCTGCCCAGAGGATACCACGCTCTTTCATCAAACCAGTTGAGGAACTCGTAGAAGCCATTTGAGGCCAGATGATGCGTGGATCTGTAGTTGAACCTGAGAAAATGAAAAGGAAACATCAGCGATTGAGACGAAGAGAAAGAGGGAGATTCGAGAGTTCATTTTTAGCATGTTTTAGCACGTTTCCTTCACAGCCTTTGACGGTTTCAAACAGAAAAAAAGGCTTCATTTTGAGTATTTTTCTGAAGGCGTCGAAAGCTGGAAGGATTTATTTTTTCACAGATTTTGGGAAGTTGCCAATAGCTCACAGGTCGGTGGAAAGAACGGGATTTGAAGGATTTCTGTCGTTTGTTTTCAGAACAAGTGGAGCCTTGATCTGGGCCAATGTCACATATAGGACAGGAGTTATATACTGTACATATAGGACAGGAGTTATATACTGTACATATAGGACAGGAGTTATATACTGTACATATAGGACAGGAGTTATATACTGTACATATAGGACAGGAGTTATATACTGTACATATAGGACAGGAGTTATATACTGTACATATAGGACATGAGTTATATACTGTACATATAGGACATGAGTTATATACTGTACATATAGGACATGAGTTATATACTGTACATATAGGACAGGAGTTATATACTGTCCGGGTCAGAGGTGCGGGTCAGAGAAGTCCAGGTCAGAGAGGTCCGGGTCAGAGAGGTGCGGGTCAGAGAAGTCCAGGTCAGAGAGGTGCGGGTCAGAGATGTCCAGGTCAGAGAGGTGCGGGTCAGAGAGGTCCAGGTCAGAGAGGTGCGGGTCAGAGAGGTCCGGGTCAGAGAGGTGCGGGTCAGAGAGGTCCAGGTCAGAGAGGTCCAGGTCAGAGAGGTGCGGGTCAGAGAGGTCCAGGTCAGAGAGGTGCGGGTCAGAGAGGTCCGGGTCAGAGAGGTGCGGGTCAGAGAGGTCCGGGTCAGAGAGGTCCGGGTGAGAGGTGCGGGTCAGAGAGGTGCGGGTCAGAGAGGTGCGGGTCAGAGAGGTCCGGGTCAGAGAGGTGCGGGTCAGAGAGGTCCAGGTCAGAGAGGTCCGGGTCAGAGAGGTCCAGGTCAGAGAGGTGCGGGTCAGAGAGGTCCGGGTCAGAGAGGTGCGGGTCAGAGAGGTCCAGGTCAGAGAGGTCCGGGTCAGAGAGGTCCGGGTCAGAGAGGTCCGGGTCAGAGAGGTGCGGGTCAGAGAGGTGCGGGTCAGAGAGGTGGGGGTCAGAGAGGTGCGGGTCAGAGAGGTGCGGGTCAGAGAGGTGCGGGTCAGAGAGGTCCGGGTCAGAGAGGTGCGGGTCAGAGAGGTCCGGGTCAGAGAGGTCCGGGTCAGAGAGGTCCGGGTCAGAGAGGTGCGGGTCAGAGAGGTGCGGGTCAGAGAGGTGCGGGTCAGAGAGGTCCGGGTCAGAGAGGTGCGGGTCAGAGAGGTCCGGGTCAGAGAGGTGCGGGTCAGAGAGGTCCGGGTCAGAGAGGTCTCTTTTACCACATCTGTACAGGTATAATTCTCCCAATCACTTCATAATTAGAATCTCTCTGATTATGTGTTTTAATTGTTCGGTAAACAGCACGTTTCCAAACTCCAAACAACTCTAAAGTATTTATTTTCTCTGAGGTCATCTTTGAGCGTCTGCAGATCTGACTCCTGATTGGACAGTTCAGACGAAGTTCATTTCTCAGTAAATTTCAACGTAACTTCAGAAATGTCTCCAGACGTGAAATACAAAAGATGCAACTTTCCATAAACTGAAGAAAAGAGTCGGAGAGAAAAAGAGGAAGAGACATGAACACAGGGATTAAAACTGCATTTATATTCAGAACTATGTTGACAACTTTAGAAAAGAATGTCAGAATTATAGATATATATTTATGTGTCTATACAAAGATGCCCCGCCCACATGGTGCTAAAGACACCATTAACACAAATACAAAGTTAGCTGCTCCACAGCCGCTCTACAGCCTACTCTACAGTCTCTCTACAGCCACTCTACAGCCGCTCTACAGCCGCTCTACAGCCGCTCTACAGCCGCCTCTACAGTCGCTCTACAGCCTACTCTACAGCCTACTCTACAGCCTACTCTACAGCCTACTCTACAGCCTACTCTACAGCCTACTCTACAGCCGCTCAACAGTCTCTCTACAGCCGCTCTACAGCCGCTCAACAGTCTCTCTACAGCCGCTCTACAGCCGCTCTACAGCCGCTCTACAGCCGCCTCTACAGCCGCCTCTACAGCCGCTCTACAGCCGCTCTACAGCCACCTCTACAGTCGCTCTACAGCCTACTCTACAGCCTACTCTACAGCCGCTCTACAGCCTACTCTACAGCCGCTCTACAGCCTACTCTATAGCCTACTCTACAGCCTACTCTACAGCCTACTCTACAGCCTACTCTACAGCCTACTCTACAGCCGCTCTACAGCCTACTCTACAGCCTACTCTATAGCCTACTCTACAGCCGCTCTACAGCCTACTCTACAGCCTACTCTATAGCCTACTCTACAGCCTACTCTACAGCCTACTCTACAGCCTACTCTACAGCCTACTCTACAGCCTACTCTACAGCCTACTCTACAGCCTACTCTACAGCCTACTCTACAGCCCACTCTGCTCTACAGAAGGAACTGTCCGAGATCTCGTTCTTTCGGTCATTACCCAAAGCTCAGGACCAGAGGTGACGGAGAGACCAGTAAATTTGTCTCAGCTCCTGCTTCTATAAAACATCTCCTTTAAAAACATCCAGATCCAACATTAGTCTGTTTCAGGCTGAGGAAGGTAAGACCGCTCTGGCTGTTAAACACTCCATGGTCAGTCCAAGTGGAGCTCTGACCGCGACACTGCACTTTACATCCCTGGCATCACCACTGGCTCATTTATCATTACCCTCCTCCCCCCTCCTCCCCCCCCCCCCCCTCCCCCTCAGCATCACCCCCACGCTGTGACCCCCCCACATAGTCTTGGATTTAGTTTTATTACAAACCCAGGAGTGAGCTGCCAGACATTATTCATCTTAACTGTAAAACAAAGAAGCTTCATGAAGCAGAGGTGTTGTGGCAGACTCCGGTGGTTCCTCCGGTGGTTCCTCCGGTGGTTCCTCCGGTGGTTCCTCCGGTGGTTCCTCCGGTGGTTCCTCCGGTGGTTCCTCCGGTGGTTAAATCTCGATACAGTCACGGAGCCCAAGTTAAAATCCGTTTTCCGAAGTTAAAATGAATGATGACTTCCTGCTCCTTGGGGCAAAGGGATAATACAAGAACCACCCCAGGGCACAGTCTGCAGCTGGGGCTCGGAGTTTTACCTGCTGCTCCGTCACTTCTGCTTAAGTCTAACACGACCATCTTTAATCCTCCACAGCAGCGTCGTCAGAACAGGTTAGAACCGGTTTGTTTCTGAAACATTCTTATTTCATCAGCACTCACTTCTATCCAAGTGTTTATCAACTATTACGATATAGACTTTTAATCAGCGTCACAACAACAGGACGCACTTCAGGATCCATCTTTAATAACTTTAAGGTTAATAAAGCTCGATTTAAGCTTTAATTAGACACAAATGATCTACTGTTTGTTCAATTCCAATTACAAGAATGATCTGAAACTGAAGTAATGAGATGTGGAGCAGAACAGATGAAGATATTTATGATGATTTCCAAGCCTGATGGCTGAGTGGTTAGCACTCACTTCGCAGCAAGAAGGTCCTGGATTCAAAGTTTCTGCGACGAACTTAGTCAGAGACAGGACAGTGTGACGTCAGGTAAGTGGGCAGTACTCACTTCTTAAACATGTGCAACAAAATTAACTTTTTTACATTTAGAACTGGGTTTGCATGTTCTCCCCTTGTCTGCTAAAAACAGAAAATAGGCTGAGACCCTCCAGCTCTGGTCTTAACCAAGTTTAGATTTTTCAGTTTTGAGAGTACAATTTAGGCCAAATATGAAATATTATTAAGAGATTTATGTTTTTTTACTTATTTGGTCGACTTTGGTAACATTTGGTCATAAACAAACACCTTTGGTACAGCAAGATTTCAACATCATCCAAACTATTGATGTTTCCGACTTGAATTTTACTTGAAGGTCATATCCATAATTAAAGATGGTTAAACCTGTTAGACCTGTTAGTTACAAAGGGGGCGAACATATATAATGTAAACGTGGTCGATGTTGCGCTTTCGGATCATTTTTGTATATTTTTTGACATGTGTTTCACTAACAAACCACCAGTGGACTCTGCAACTGTACGAAGAAGACACATAAATGAAAATACGGGTGAACTATTTATGGGAATGATAAACTTTGAGAATGCATCGTATTCTACTGTAGATGAACTGTTTAACTCTGTCACCTCTAGTGTTTTGAAAGTTCTGGACACCATCGCTCCTGTGAAGGTTAAAATAGTGAAAAATAAGCAGAAGGCGCCGTGGGCTAAAGCAGACTCGGTCAGAGCACAAAAGAGAGAGTGCCGGAGGGCCGAGCGGAAGTGGCGCAAGTCCAACCTCCAGGTTGATTACAAGATCTTCAAAGATAAGTTGTGCGAGTTTAACCAGGTGCTACGTAGTACAAGAGAAAGGTATTTTTCTGAAATGATTGAAGGCTGAAGGCTGCAGCAACAATCTGCGTGTTCTGTTTTCAACAGTTAATAGATTAACAAACCCCCCTGTTCAAATGCCATTAGAGCTAACTTCCAAACGTAAATGTAAGAAAACTGCAGTCATCAGGCCCCTGCTAAAAAAGAGCAGTCTGGATGCTACGGTACTTAACAACTATCGTCCCATCTCAAATCTCCCATTTATGGGGAAAGTCCTTGAGAAAGTTGTCTACCTACAGCTTACTAGATTTCTTATAATCAACAACTCATTTGATATGTTTCAGTCCGGCTTTAGACCCCACCACAGCACTGAGACTGCTCTCGTTAAGGTTACAAACGATATCGGCTGAACACTGACGCAGGCAAAGTCTCAATCCTAATCCTGTTAGATCTAAGTGCTGCCTTTGATACTGTCGACCATGAGATCCTCTTACAGAGACTAGAGGACTGGGTTGGCGTCGCTGGCACCGCCCTAAGTTGGTTTAGGTCTTACCTTGAAGACAGGAAGTACTTTGTGGAGATTGGAAACTGCAGACGCAGAAACAAAGTTTCCTATCATAACTATGCAGACGACACTCAGATCTATGTCTCACTGACTGCAGGAGAACATGGACCAGTGGACTCACTCCTTCACTGTATCCAACAGATCAGTGAGTGGATGCAAAACAACTTCCTTCAGCTAAACGCAGACAAAACTGAAATGATTGTCTTTGGTCCCCAGAAACAAAGAGAGAGCGTCATCTGTCACCTACAGTCTCTCTCCCTAAAACCTTCTAACAAGGTCAGAAATCTAGGGGTAATACTGGACTCAGACTTAAATTTTAATAGCCACATCAAATCAGTAACATCAGCAGCTTTTTACCATCTAAAAAACATTGCCAGGATCAAAAACATAGTGTCTAAAGCAGACTTGGAGATTCTTATCCATGCATTTGTCTCCAGTAGGTTAGACTACTGCAATGGCCTGCTCACAGGTCTGTCCAAACAGGCTGTAAAACAGCTGCAGTACATTCAAAATGCAGCAGCTCGAGTCCTGACTAGAACCAGGAAGTACGACCACATTAGTCCGGTCCTCAGGTCCCTGCACTGGCTTCCTGTGGCTCAGAGAATAGACTTTAAAACAGCTCTGCTTGTGTACAAATCTCTCCATGGCCTCGCACCAAAATATATTAGTGACATGTTAGTCCCATATGAACCAGCCCGGACTCTGAGGAGCACAGGGACTGGACTCCTGTTAGTGCCCAGAGTCAGAACTAAACATGGGGAGGCTGCTTTTCAGATTCATGCTGCTAAAATCTGGAACAATCTTCCTGAAGATGTGAGACAGGCCTCCTCTCTGACAATGTTTAAAACCAGGTTAAAAACGGTGCTGTTTAGCTGTGCATACAACTGAGGGATTTTATATTTTTATCTTTCGTTTTAATGTTCTGTAATTATTTATGATTTTAATGCTATCTTGTTCAGCACTTTGAGTTGCCTTGTGTATGAATTGTGCTATACAAATAAACTTGCCTTGCCTTGCCTTAATGGTCTAATGAATGGACAATAACAATAACAAATGTCATGCCTTGAAATAAATATACCATAGTCCTAATACCACACTTATTTAGTCTAGTTTTTTTAAATGGACATTACTATTTTAATGATAATGCAGTCATTCCAATCCACAAACGTAAAAAGAACCAGTTAAGCATGTATCTTTGTGCAGTGAATGTTTCCTTCTGAATCTTTGAGTTTGAGTCGTCCATTGTCGGATTACAGACTTTTACAAATGTTAGAACTACTCAGCGTTTGAAGGAGAGAGACCTTGTTATGGCTCCATCACAAAACGACTGTTTCCACCTGGAGCTGTCAAACAAGAATCATTATTTAAGATGAATTTAAATAACGTCCGTAAAAGAAATCTACAGCACCTGTCACATCACGTCCGATTTACAGGGTTTGATAAAGGGCAGAGTGAGACGACACTGAGGCAGAAGTGTAGCTCAGAGATTTAATACAAGCGTCGATAGAGTCGGAGACACACGTCAATAACAGCCACTGAGCGAGAGGCCAAACAAAACCATCTGCACTTTACATTCAGCAGCATTGGACTGAACGGGTAACGTCCAAATTAGAGATGTACCGATCCAGAATGTTTGTAATCTGATCCAATCCCGATATTCTTAAATATTGTTTTGCCGATACCGATCCGATACCATTTTTTCAAAGCATTAAAGAATTTGCATTTTTACCTGAATAGGTTTGTGGTGTCGCTAACACACGTTAGCTTTGTTTACAGTCACGGGGAATGAGGCTCGAGGAATATGTTCACAAGCAGTCTCCCCCATAGTTAGTCCTGGTTTAGTCCTGGTTTAGTCCTGGTGAAATCCTGGTTTAGTCCTGGTTTATCTCCTGTTTTTTTGTCCCCATGACGGCTCTCTGAGAGCTCTCTGATAGCTCTCTGAGAGCTCTCTGATAGCTGCACGGAGGAAAAGGTTAATCTCTTGCTTTCGCCGCATGCACCAGGTCTGTGTCCACTGCCTCTGCCACAGCGCACATGCTAAGCCTCACACAGACATGCAGAACCATTGACTCGGCATTAGCATCTCCAAGTGTTCTCCAACAGAACCCTCTCTCTCTCTCTCATTAGCATCTCCAAGTGTTCTCCAACAGAACCCTCTCTCTCTCATTAGCATCTCCAAGTGCTCTCCAACAGAACCCTCTCTCTCTCATTAGCATCTCCAAGTGCTCTCCAACGGAACCCTCTCTCTCTCATTAGCATCTCCAAGTGTTCTTCAATACAGTCTGCGTCTCCCGTCTCCAGTATTGATTTCATTATTAGGTGTTATTTCCTCTCCCTGCGGTGAACCATTGAGGATCT